ACAAGAAGACGTGGTTCTTTTCGGCGTTAAATTTTACGATCCGGCTGTAGCAGTAACTTCGATTGCCGCGCTTCTCTGCAAAGCGTACACAAAGACCGTGCTTTCTTCTATAAATACACAGCATTCTCTTCTGGGAGGTCGAACGATAATAATTTTCCAGTAAAAAAACCCCTAAAAAATTATATTTTTTTTACCCGCTCATTAAGAAACACGGTATTTTCTGCTTGCTACTTTTGAATATATAAATAAATATCTCAATGTTACGCAATACCGTTGGCCAACAATAAAATGGGTTTTCCTTGAAGGACATTCGAAATCAATGAAAAGTATATTAAAGTGGGTTTTAGTGAAGGAAAATCGACTTTTTTCTTTTTCTTTTTCATTTTTTTTTGTATTATTATCCAAAAATGAATTATGGGATTAAAGCTATTTATATGAACAAACAAGAAATTCGGTCTGGAAAATTTCTGATTCGACACAAATTTCTTAATATAATCTCAAGCTAAAATTAAACAATTCGAAATAACATACAGACTGTTATATAATTCCTCGCATAGTTTTTGAGGTGCCAATGATAATAATCATAGAGTATGTATAAAATTCATTAATTATTATCTACAGACTTAAGTAACTCATTAATATTGTTAACTACAATAAAAATTAATTAAAAACTGTATTTATTAATGAAGAATGTAAATACTTTAAACATTTAAATTGATATAGAAAACACAGCAGAAATTGGAATTGAAAAAAATAGGAAGTTAGAAAAAAAAATGTATCTAGACACCAGAAGAATTCACAGCGTAAAAATGTATGGAGAGTCCATAAATCTTTTCCTTCAACAGTTTATAAATGTTCCAATCACAGTATATAAAACTGTTTTTTTTTCAGTTTGAATTTCTTGAAAAATATAGCATGAATAGTGAGACTGGAGGAAAAAAACTTATTTCTTCGTATTTTATACTGGATTCTTTTAGAAATTGAATATAAATTCAATACTGTCTGTAGGACAATCTAAAATCGTAACAGTCTTCGATTATATTAGAAAAATAAAGATTTCTATTTAAATACTTGAAAAACGTACTGCAAAGATGACAGTTGTGAATTATACATAGAAATTTATTGGCAAATGAAAATGTTATTTCTTCAGTTTTTTTTTATACTTTGATTATTATAGAAATTCACTATTATTTCAAACCATTTCTAAAATTATATCAGAAACAGAGATTTCTGTCAAATTATTACTGCTAATTCAATATTCTTACTGATTTTTGACATTCAAATGTATGAGAAATAAAAAAAAGATTGACAGAAATATCGTGAATTAAATAATATCACAATAAATAGAAGATTTCTATCTTCTGCTAATTCAATATACAGGTATTCCCCGACTAACGAACTCCCGGACTCACGAACAAAATTCTAAAAGCTCTAACTTGTTACATGTACTATCTGTTTTATTGAATTTGTTTCTTTTATTGTTTTTTTTATTAAATAATTGTGATGTCTACATTGAAAAGTATTTGTAAGTAAGTATATTGTTTATTTTAATCTATTTTTTCAAATTTATGTAGTCAGTAATACGGAATTTAACATATATAAAAGTAAGAACCATGACAAAGTATGGTAAGGTAAGTATATTTTGAAATTTTTAAAATTCCCCCGACTTACGAACAATCCTTTGGAACAGAACTAGTTCGTAAGTGAATTACTGCTAATTTCATATAGTTACTATGAAATTCTGATTTTAGAAGTTCATTTACATCAGAAATTAAAAAATGAACAGAAATATCGTGAATTAAATAATATCAGAATAAATTAAAGATTTCTTTAAAATCATTAAATTATTACTAATTCAATATATTTGATAAGAAATTCTGATTTTAGAAGTTCAATTACATCAGAAAATTAATAAAAATTGACAAAAATATCGGGAATTATATAATATCAGAAATAAATCGAAGATTTCTATCAAATCATCAAATTTCTACTAATTCAATATACTTATTAATAAATTCTGATTTTAGAAGTTCAATTACATCAGAAAATAAAAGAAAATGACAGAAATATCGTGAATTAAATAATAAATTCTGATTTTAGAAGTTTTACAACATTTTATAAGTTCAATAATATAATAATATCATCAAAAAATAAATAAAAATTGAATAAAATATCGTGAATTATATAATATAAAAAAATAAAGATTTCATTAAGAAATGATTCAGTTTCGACTCTTAAAACGTTTTATTTCCATAAACTATAAAGATAAGTTTCTACAATTTGCTTATAAATTTATTAGCGGTTACAAATGGTAATGGTAAATTTAAATTTCAAATAAACGCAAAAGAAAGAGGTAAAAAAAATTGAAATAGTGGAGAACGATTAAACACTTTGTTGCTGCATATATGTGCCCATATGTAAATGATGAAATTTGCATCACGTGCACTCGTTTTACGTGTTTTAAGAGCATATTTTTTTGCAAAAAGCTTTCTCTTTTGAGCAGGAAGAAGTAAAAATAAAATCGTTAAACAAACTCCGCTGCATTTCGAATTTAGCTCTCGCATCAATTATTTTTAGCACAGAATAAATAAATTTAGTATAAACGATACACACAAACAGCCTTGTTGATTTTGGAGAACGACGTGCAAATACGATGCGTAATAAAATCACGTAACATTTTAATCTAATCAGCGATGATGAGACAATTGCACATCGACAATAACGATTCGATTTATCGGAAACGTGCGCTCGATAAACAACATGCGTATATACGTGCGTATTGTATTATGTAAAATGAAATGTAAATAATATAATGGGAAAAGATTTAATTATATAACGCATGCAAATCCTCGTTCAAACACACTCGGATGCGGATAAATTGCAGCGCTGTCCCATCATTATTATTATTAATGTTAATCCACGTTGATTTATCCATGTTTATTTTTTTTTTTGTATTTAATCGCGTTTCGTTTTCAATTTGCTGGATGTTCGTGTAATTACACATCAAGTGTATTTTGAAGAAAATCATTTTGCAGTGCGCTTATAACTTGTTCTCACAAGAAGTGTTTTCTTTTAATAACATTTAAGTGTATTTACAAGCTAAAAGGTCAATATTATTTTACATACTTGTCTAAGTACTAATTAACTTAAATATGAGATGTTGTACTTTTCAAGTCTAAAAAAAATCATTAAGTATAATTGCTGAACAAATTTTACTGTCTTGTAGTTAATAAAAGCTAAATATAATTTTGTATTTAAGTATTATAATTATAGTAAAGTATAATTATACATATTTTTAGATAATAATTTCTACTAGTTTGTTAAAAAATAATACACTTTTTACAAATACATTGTTCAAATTTGTTGAAAACCTAAATATTAGTTTATAATATATAAATACAGCAATACCTCACATAATGCGGCTTCGATCAGTGCGGATTCTCTATATTACAGTTTCAAAACAATCTAAATTGAGCAAAATTATAGTGCACAAATTTATTTTTACTCTTTACAGACAAGTCTCTTTGTGTTCTCTTTATTTTTACGCGTTTTTAAAGTACTCGATTTGTGCGGTTTCAAACAGTTAATTGAACCCGCACTATTCGAGGTATCGAGGTAAAATCGTTTTTTTTTTAGAACAATTTAATATAGTTCTAAATCTATAAAATTTAAATATTAAAACTAGCTTTGAACAATTAATACATTGATATTATATTATTTTAAGAAATTCATGTTTTTATTATAGATTATTCAAGATTTTCATGAACTTTTTGCTAATTATTCTCGATTTTCACAAACTTTTAGCCAATGTAAATTGAAAAAAAACTGCAAAATGCAATATTTTAAACAATTAAATTATAGACTTAAATTCAACTTTAAAAACTGAATACAAACGTTAAGTTAAACTAGAAATGTTGACGTGAATTTGATAAAGAAAACAAACATCGATGAGAGAATCAAAACTAAATGGAATACGAACTAAAAACTGTATACAAACACATGAAGAACTCTCGCGTCTCAAAAACACCGATCTTTTTATAAGACATTTTACGAAGAGAGGACATAAATCTCTTTTTAAACGAGGATCCCATCAACAAACTATAAAACTTCTTGTATCGGCTTGAATTTCAAGAAAAAAACTTAGCAAATGTTAAAATATAAAATTTATTCCCAGTGGATTACTTTAGAAATTGACGATAAATTCAATATACTTTTACTGAAACCTATCATAGTTATAGTCACAATCTCAATTTTTATTTTCTTATTTAATTTTCTCATATTTCAGAATATTTTTTTCCAAATAACATAAAAATGTTACATTTACACAAATTTTAGTAAAAATAAATAAATGGAATTCTTATTAGATTAGTTCAATCTTGTATTATAAATTTTGATATTTGTTTGTAAGTTTTCTTTATGTAATTTTAACTAACGAAATTTCATTTGACTGAAATTTCATAAAATATGAGTATTTGTATGATATAAGTATGTTTTATTTATTAAAATTGTAATAAATGAATGAATTTGTTTGATATTTGAAGATAATGATGTTTTTTTTTTTGGATAAAATGTGCAAGTGAGTAAATGTATAAATAGAAAATAGGACTTAGAAAACTTTTATGTAACATAATTGGAGAGGCACGAGTTCGTTCTCAAAGTATGTCGCATTCCATTGGATTATCCGCGTTGGATAGATACAAGAAACGACGTATTTACTTTGCAGTAGTGCAGGATAGTAAACCGGAAAGTTACGTTTGTAAATAACATGGGAATGAATATATATATCTTCTATATGATGCAGTGAGTGGATTTAAGTGTACATAGATAGATAGAGAAGAGCAGTAGTAACGTGTTCTCTGGTCAGAAAGCGCGCGGTGTACACACCCCCTTTTTCGCATGGGAATTCTGCACGTTGCAGCAGTAGAATACAAACAGCAAATGCTGCAATGATGATGATGATAGTAATTTTACAGTTGTAAATAATAGTTTGATGTGTTTACCTGTAGATCCTTGTGATTGTTATCCTTGTGGGTGGCGGCGCGAATAACACCTGCCCTCCACCCCCACTCACTAATTTTTCCAATTTTCAATTTCGTAAAGCCACTGACAACAGACAGGAACCGTTTCCCAACGATTTCCTCACGAGACTTATATGCCATCACCGTGATCGAACCATCAACAAAACAACAACAGCAGCAGCACTCTTAAGCACAATCAACTTCACACACTCATCGTATCCATCTGGAGGAAAAGTCGTCGAAGAAGGTTTTCGTGAAAAGGATGTTGTTATCCTAACAATCCTCAAGTCACATCGTCTTCCTCCTCTTGGCTACACCCCCTCACAAGTCCGTTGGAACTCGATCAAACTATCCGAACTCCAAGATGAAACGAACCAAAAAAAAAACTACTACTACTTCGTAGATCTTCACGTAGATCTGTAGTTCTACAGAACGAACGAAAACCAAAAAACTGTTCCACACATAAAATAATATATAGCGCTCTGGCACTACGCATGTAAAGATTTTCAATCTCGCTGTGGCGAAGCGCACAGGCCAACCTGAAAGGAAACACTCGCAGCCGCTCGGCTCGTTCGCTCGTGCCGCCTCGCCGCGTAAACATTCCTCCCTGCGAGGAGGAGAAACTCCATCTAGGCAACGCCGGGGCTTCCCCCCTTTTCAGTAATTTTTTTTTTCGTCACTCTCGCACACACACATACACGCAGACAACCTCCAACCCTCCAAAGAGATACGGACCTACGCGACCCCGAAAACCCCGAAACCTACATTTCTTTCTCCTACCCACATCCTCCTCTCTCTGCGACCATCTAATTAACTCTCCTCTTCCAGCACTGGGTCTGCTTATGGGCAGAGCTGACTTCATCATCTTCAAGCCTGTTTCATTACGAACTCCATAAACACCAAAACCAGAACGCTCTGATCCTTCGAACTATCGCACAATTCAACATTAAAACAAACAGCTCGTTTTAAGTGTTCATCCTTAACACGTTTATCCTCATATTCTCACTCTGCTAAAGACATCTAAAAATATGATCAGTCAACAACATAATAACTAGATCATAAACAACTTCTCACCATTAAACTTCATCCTTAACACGTCTTTCTACAAAATCCTACACGTCTAAAACTTCAACATCAAAATATTACTACAACTTAGACTTCATGGTTATTATACCATTTTTCATATTACTACTATCTTGAAGATATCCGGAATATAAAATAAAATACTAACACTACATTTTTAACACGTCTTCATAACTTTATTCTTCCAAAACATCAACCAAAACTAACATATCTCATGATTAGACTTTATCTATAACATCATTAGCACTAATCCTATTTCAAGCATATCAAATTACAATAGTATCTTTGCTGTTATACTGATAATATTGAAAAATCATTAGATACAAAATATTATAATTATCAATATATTTATTGTACAAATACAAAAAAAAAACAAATATAAGATAGAAAATATGATAAATTTAAAAAAATGAACAAAATTCTAAATGTATTTCTTGTGCTGATAACATATTTTTCCTCTTTTCCACATTTCTACTATTTCGAAGTTGTATAATCAAAATATTAATCAAATTTTAACAAGACATTTACAATAATCTAAATAATTAACCAATTTACACCTCATAATTAAACATTAATTAGCTTGATTAAAATTGTCCATCAAATACGAAAAGTCCATCAAAATTGTAAAAATAGTTTATCTGATCAAATTTCATTAATATTTCTAAATAACTGAAAAACTAGAATATTAAAATAAATTAATTAATTGAGTATTGAAAAAAAATCTATGATTAATGTTAATTCTTTCACTAAATGTCCAATAAAATGAGTTTAATTTTAACAATATATAATGATACGATTTATACATAAATAAATATAATGGAAGAACGACGAGAATAGATTTTTTTTGAGGTGCAAGTGATGCAATGAGTTATTGTGGTAAACCAATAGTAATTAACGCCCACCGTCTATGAATGCACCGAAACCTACACACACACCGTTTTAGTTATTGACTTATTCAATAGCACTTGCTAAATCCTTTATATTTAAAACACTCCACGAGACGGACCAGCTCTTCATTTACAAACACTCGACGAGATGACTTTCCCATTTCGCAAACTGCAAACTCAATATTAATTCACCGCATGATTCATTAATTAAGCTATACATTTTGTTAATAAAAAATAATAGAATATAAAAAAAAGAAAATATTTCTTAATGTTGAAGATTTATTGCTCAATAGTTTATTGTAAATTTTACTAATTTCATACTAAGTCAAAGAGTAAACTTTGTGAAATCGAGTGTCCAAATTTTTGTATTTGTAATGTAATAGAAAAAAAGTAAATTGAAATAAAAACACTTACATATGATAAAATTATCCAGTGTAATTGCACCAATTCCGGCGTCGTCTGCGAAATAAATCACTCATTAATTTTAATTCAACACATTTATACACAAACACACAGAAACAAACAAACAATCCACTCAAGTGTTAAGTTGTCTGATTAACCGAAGATGGGCATCTCACGCTAATTATCCGCATATTCCTCTTGCGTTATGTTATTATGTTTAACATTATTGTCGGAACGCGGTTTTGTGAAATCGTTTTAAGTATCAGATAGATAGAAATACACACACACACACAGTTTTCGATTATTACGGAGTGACGATATCGGTTATAAAAGTCACGATATATCACGACTCCAACTGACTCTTTAAAGAGCACGCCGCGACGGACTTGAGAGGTTGCAGGTGAAATGCATCATTAGGCTGCAAAACTCGTGAAGGAAACAAGACAACAACAGATAAATCCACGACACAGTTGTAAAAGAATTCTTATAAACAATAATTTTCTATATTTTAACTTTAATTGGTTTATGTAATCGTATAGAATGAATACTTGTTTCTATCTATAATTCATGCAAATCCTTAACCAACTTGTTATAATTATATAAACTGATCTTTTAATAACAAGAAACTAATTATTTTATAGATAATTCTAAAGCTGGAATATTTTCAATTCAGTCAAACAGATTTTCTTTCAATTCCATTAACTTTTTGCCATATATCTTTTTATTATACACAATTAATTAAAGTTTCAATCATAATTAATTTCATCCCTCTTCATTTGATTCATTATACAAATTTATACGACTTTTCAAAAGTTTTTAATTAAAATAATTAAGAGTTTAATTTAACCATTTTTAATGCTATTATCTTCATATCATTCAAATATATAACAAGGATTTCTGAATTTACTTAAAAATTTACAGTAAAATTTGTGTTTTCCTTAAAAAAATCTTTAAATTTACTAATTTTTTTATTATCAACAATTATTTCAGAATTTTCTTAAAACACAAGAAAATTTGTGTTTTTTGTATAAAAATGTCTGTGAATTTAATAATTCATTTAATTTTATCAAGAAGTATTTCCGAATTTACTTAATAAATCAGTAAAATTTGTGTTTTTTGTAAAAAAAAAACTGTACATTTACTAATTTTATTATCAACAATTATTTCAGAATTTTCTTAAAACACAAGAAAATTTGTGTTTTTGTATAAAAATGTCTGTGAATTTAATAATTCATTTAATTTTATTAAGAAGTATTTCTGAATTTATTTAAAAAACAGTAAAATTTGTGTTTTTTTGTAAAAAAAATTGTGTAAATTTAATAATTCAATATAATATTGTCAAGAAATATTTCAAAAATTTTGAATTTCATATTATATTTCATTTTAAACTAATATAATCTGTAGCTCACTACAATTTAGTACTTATTTACTAGAAATAATTGGTTTTTATATCAATATAGTAAAACAATGAAGAATTATAAAGTTTTAGCTAATTTCACTTCAATTATTTGTGAAAAAAAATGAAATGTTCTTATTGGTTTTATGATCTTCACAAATCTGCACATGATCCGTTTACTTCTTTTGTGCATTCAGTGCATTTCAGCCAATCTTCGGTTTCCGAAACGATTTTAATTAAAACCCGCTAATTCTTCGAGAGTAATAGGGTTTTCGACGGTAATTGCATTAGAGACAGAGACGTGGGCGTTTCGGGAATCCGACTGGAACCACGTGGGAGAATAACGCGCGCGCTGCCGCCGCCGCAGCTCGTTGCATAACGCGCGCGCTCTCTTTGAACTGGAGTTACGTAACGCGGCCGGATGAAAGGCGCAGACGAATTCCTCCAGTCTTTCTCTCATCTCCTACTTCTTTCAGCTCTCCGAAATCTCTCTAAAAATATTTCTTACCCCGTCGCTATTTACGTATACATATAAATCTGCCCGATGCGTTGGGTCTCTGACCCACAATACGAATGTCTCTTAGGGTTGTATTCGCATTCATATTCAAATTCCACCCGAAATGCATATTCATTGAGTATTCAAATTCATTAACAGAGATTTAATTTAATAAATCCTTATGGTACTATGCGAATTCCTGCATTATTGTTTATAAGCCGATTCTTAAGAGCTATTCCATAAGGATAGTAACTAATTTGGCATAGTTCTCCCTTTGTTTGCTTCATCATTCTCAAATTAGGTTAATACCTTTAAAGTATGTTATGAAACTAGGTTAATAACATGTAAGTTTCACAACTACCTCTCGAGATAATAGCATTCCGTAAACAAAATTTAAATAAACTATCTTAATATTTTCCTACTAAAGTATAATCAATCAAAGTAAAGCTTAATATATTGGAAAATCAAGCTTTTCTTGAAAACATGCAACGTATTTATAAGTTGGCCTGAACTTGAAAAGATGATTTATGTAATGTTCTCACTACAAACACATTTTTTTATCTATTTATACGTTTTTGCATCAGCGTTTTTAATGGCCTCTAATATTATCCAACATCGCGCGAGTTTATGTAGCTTAGTGATGTATAGTAACCATTTCTAAGTTGGCTTTGAACTAACTATCGTTGTTTATTTTTTAAATATTCTTACATTCCAGCAACAACTCCATCCTTAAAAGAAAGAAACACATGAAATGTAATCAGATAACATTCTAAAAATTTTACATAACATTTCTTAAATTTATAATATTTCAAACAATACTATTGCATTATAATGACATAATAATTAAAGAATTCAAATTATCAGAAATGACAAATATATAAGTTTGTTGCAACATTTTTTAGACTTCTGGAACGCAACGCTCAATACTAAACCGTCAGCGCCATCTATCAAAATGGCTTGAAAAGTAACAATTCCTATTGCAGGGATCTCCACAAAATTTATTACAAATTTCATGCAAAATGCAATTTTTTATTTAATATCTTTATAATTAACAACTATTTAATTTTACATGCATTTCATGAAATAACAAAATTACGTTTGCCTTCAAATTGTTTCAACTAAAACAAAAATTTCTAAGTATTTAAAATTAATTATTATACAAAAATTAAATGTAGCATTTAAATCTGTTAATTTGGCTTTATTTAATTTGTTCCAATGAAAACTATTGATTTCTTTTGTAAACATCATATGCAACCCAAGAAACGCACGTGCAACAAACTAATATAAGCAAAATACAACGTAAATCAGTAAGTAACATTTGCATAACAATAATATATGCACAGCCACGTGCAGTTTTCGCTAATTGGTATGTAATTACGAGTTATGTATAAAGTAAGAAATAATTATTGTTGTTTTTTATGTAATAAACATCGACGTAAGAGGAATCGTTCACGTTGCAATGGTAACAGGAATTGTAAAGCGAAAGGCACGCGAATCACAATGAAATGTTAATCGTTGTTTACGGAAATTGAACGTAAAATATCTTTCTCACCTGTCAATAAACATTAAATGGACGACGAGCGCCATCTTTCGTGAAAACTGTCAAGCCTTAAAGGCAGGGGATCCAACAAACGCAATAGAAAATGACTAGACTTGGATTATTACTAATGTTCAGATTTTGTTCAATATTTGTCATTATTAGAATTAGTATATAAAGATTAGCAATGTTCCAAGTTGTAAACAGTTTGTAAACAATCTATCTTTGCATTGGGAAGAGTTTAAGAAATGAATATTATGTGTTAACAAAGATGATTTCAAAACTGTTTTTCTTATAACACTTATGTTATGTTAAATATCATTATGAATTAAATAGTAAATTTTGTCCGTTCCTATTTTAGTAGATTTTATGTATAGAAAAGATAAATTATAAGTTCAGATACAATTCCTGTACAAGTACAAAGCAGTCAAATACATTATTTTTCCCTTATAAGAAGTCTTCCAGTATTATGTAATTACTCTTTTAGTTTACATATTCCAGTTTCAACTTTTTTGACAAGTTTTGGTCAAATCCATAGATTTTGGAAGTGATTCATTATATTTCAACAATTTTAATTTGTGTTATGAATGATTATATTATTAGTATGTAAAAGTAAATCTTATAATCATAAAATATAAATAGTATAGTCAAACAATCAAATTCTTATAGGATTGTTTGACAAGTTGTCTATATTACAACCTCATATTTACAACTGTATTCATCAAAGATTGAAGTTGCACATTTTTCTCTAATAATTAAATAAGATTCTATTATTTAAGCTACATTATTAATTGTTTAAGATGTGAATGCTTAATTCTTAAATTTTTAAATATTTTTAAAGCAAATTGTATTTTTAGTTGTATTAACATACATTAATCAAGCAATGTTTTTATTGAAAACATGTCTCTTCTTTTACAGTATATCATCAATGTTATAGTACATTTGAAATACTGCGGGGATTTTCTTTAGCTACAGTTTACCACCCTTCCAACGGTTATGGTGGGAGACAAAAGGTAGTCGTGATTGCTGTCAGCTGTCATGTTCGATGTAGTTGGTTTGAAAATAGTGTATAGAATTCATCCAATACAAAAAATAGTGATAGTTTTTAAAGTGTTTTGTGTTATAAAATGATTTCGTCGATACTGTCGAGACTCGTCATGTAAGTTCACCCATCCTTCCGATAAATCCAACGAGATTGACACTAATTTAATTTTCAAATTAATACGCAAACAAAAGAATTAACGATATCGCAAAGAACGTAAGATTTGTTTTGAAAGAAGATGTGACCCATGGATATCTTCTCTTTGACACGAAACTATGCGTACGTGCGTACAGGTGGAGGGTCGTTTTTTTTTACAGTTCCAGCATTGATGTTCCGTTCATGTGGAAATCAATAAATAGCAAAACTGGAGCAAAGGAGTTTTTTGAATTTCGCATTTTGCACGCGCCGAAATTTGAATCTGTTATTGTCCTTTACTTATTTTTTTTTAGTGTTATTGTTTGCTGATTAGCAAAAATCTGCTGATGTTTTTTTTTGCTTCTTTCCAATCAATCTAATCAGAGCAGAAAAGCCATCGCAGCACGCAGTTTGTTCATGTTGCGAAATTGCTTTTGTTTCACGATTTCCTGTGATGCGACACAATGGTAGAGTCGTAGCCTCCCCTTTGTCACCTTTGACTTCTTTGTTCGTGTCCACTCATCGGATGGTAGAGCTACAATTAGAGATAGCAGCAATGAAGAGTTCAATTGGATGTTGTCATTTTCTTCAGGAAATTTGATCGATGTCGTTATTGGGATGCTCGGTTGCCAAGGATCAGCTGATCGTCCTATTGGACCAAACCTTTTTTTTTCAATACTTTCCCAATTTGCTATACTTGTAGGGTAAATCGCATTTCGTTAAGATTTCGATGTAAGTTTATCTGCAAAGGTTAAAGATCAAATGTTATATTATATACAAAATGTTTATAACTTAAATTATGACAATTTAAACAAACCTTAATATCTACTTTTTGTTGTTTATAATGAAGACAGGATTTTAACAATTATACATTTTAAGTAGGTTAAATGTTAAAAAAAATCTCACTAGTAATTACCGTAATTTGTATAACTATTAAAACCGAATTAATTGTATTAAGTTCATTTTTTTTGTATTTAATTACAAATGAAAAGAGCATTGTTTTTAATTTGTAAAGAACAAACACACTTTGTAATAATAGATTAAAATTTCAAGATAGAAAAACTTTGGTCGATAGCCTTTTGCATCTATAAATTGTGTAATTATATAATAATTTCAAATTTCATTAATCATTTGATCTAATTTAGTAGCTTTCTATATTTTCACCCTATTGATTAGGTTCAAATAAGTTAATTTTGATAGGAATATGAGAAGTAGATTCAAAAGTACAATGTGCATTCATAGAGTTTATTAAAACATTCGGTATTCAATTTGAATGATTTAAAAAGTATAATTAGGAAGTATGTTGCCATAGTCTATTTTTATACCGTATAAAACTGCTATTGAATCAGATTATTCAGCATTGAACTTGTTATTACCTAACATATGTAGATATTATTTATGAGTTGGTATATATTTTGAATGTAGTTTTAATGAACCTTGTGAAATATCCGCCTATAAAGAAAATTTCAAATCAGATATAATTATTGAAATCCTTTCATCGGCTCACCTTGCGTGCATCGATTGCTCAATGATCATCTTTTGTAATGTACAGAACTGCTGTATTCGCAATTTCCAATACGTGGGTTCTTGTTGTTGTATCTATAAAGAATTAATTCTAAAAAGAAGAAAAGTGTGCGAAAACATATCAACAACAAAGTCCAAAAAAAAAATACAATCCAAATTGAAACGGCGCGTTTCGTAACTGTTAAATGGTTCGAAATTGTCGTGCGTGGGGTTCCCAATAAAGAAAGAATTGTTAAATGCATTAAAATGAATTAGAGTTCGCCAACGTAAAAAATAACAGAAAAAATTGAATTGGAGTCTCGTTTTTCCTATTAGCATCTCACGTTGTTGTTGTTTCAAGCAATTACGCTTATCGTTGAATAACAATATGATATAGGTATGAAATGTAAAGAGAGAAAAAATTGTGTCCAACGGCAAAGAGACTGGCAGATCCAAATATAACACGCTTCGTCATATCGCGCCGTTTTGCAAGTTATCCTTTTATGGAAGAGCCGCCTTGAAAATGGTTTTAGAACGATCTGCAAAATCAATGACCTCATTGGCTCGTACCGACGAATCCACCGGACGACGGGCAATCGCCTTTTTGTACTTGTTAAAAATAAATGAAATCAGTTTCTTGCAGACACAATCTTGTCTTTATTACATACTTTCCTGAGACAATTACATCACCTTTTTAATATATTTTATGATATTTACTTGCGATTTACGTTCTTCTCTTCACCATTTTGTTATAAATGTATTGTGCATTATTTACCTTTCTACAAAATCTTAAAGGTCATCCAACCTAATTTGCAGTTCAAACAATAAAATATACTTTTTTTTTTAAATTGAACAACATTTATTTAAACTCAACATTTTCTTCTTAAGAAAGTTATTTTGTTTGGAAATTTGAAAGATACGCGTTTTCATTTATGGTTTCACTTATGACTGTTAGAGGTAGACAAATGGAAACAATGATTGTCTAAGCAGACAATACACGATTATGTCTATGATCAATCAGCTGTGAACAATGGATCACGTATGAAACCGTTAGATTTTGGGTTTTATAACATTGATTGATCAATTCTTGGAAATGCATAAAAGCAGTTGTTGCGAGAACCTCGAGATATCGTGATTTTATTGATTGCTTTTACCTCTTTATGGTGATCTAAGGCGAACTCTCATTCCATAATTGTGAATAGATCTGAACAAAGCAATTTATCATCGAGTTTTGTTTTTTTAAGTTTGCATTTTTATTTAGTTAATTAAGGAAGTAATCTAAATTTGGAGGAAACACAAGGTTTTTGAACTTTTTAGATTGTTTATATATTATAATGGGAATTACAAACTAGTTTTATTTATTTTAATCTTATATTAGTCACCATTAAACGAAAGCTGAATTCAAAATTATAATTTCTTATTGTTTTGTTTTCAAATTACTTTTCTATACAATTAACAAAATGATTTTTTTTTAGAAATTATCATCAGTTGATTAACCATTTAATTAACATCATTATAGAATATGTTATGTTTTTAATAGATTACGTCATGGAATGTTATGATTCGCTTAAAGCTAACTGTTTGCTACTTGATATTTACCAAGTAACGTTTCGCAAATTGCATATGAAGTAATACAAATATTTGTACAAGTTATCACTTATTTACACAACGATTTTTACGATTCACGTAATAAGTTTTATACTTTTGATTGAAATTTACAGTTGGTGGTGGTTAGTTATGTTTAGTAAATATGTTTTATCCAAAATTAATCCTGGAATGTTGCCATTTTAAAATTATGAAATTGGAAACATTATTTATATATGATACATTTCTGACTTTAATAAAACTTGAAGATTTTGGCGAGATTAGATTTAAAAACTATTTTATCCTATTTGTGCTTTTCGATATAATTCTGCATTTACGAAAAAGCGAAATTTCAAAGACCGTGCCTCGTAGAAACAGTTGTGCAAAAAAATGTTTATTTAAACTTAAGATTTATGATCCAAAAACAATGTTCAGTAAGTTAAGGAAAACAACTGTACATAAATATGCACCATGTATCGAATTCGGGAGAGAGGAGTAGAGCCGTCTCCTCTTGGATAAATCGTGTCCGATGGATGTAGAATGCGAGTATTATAAATAAATCGGTAGGACCTCCTCTACTACTCTCGCTCCGCTACCGAGATCTTATTTTGGATGGCATCGGTTCAAACTTTAATATTAGAAACTTTCCGCGTTTTCCGCCCGCAACAGCAATCCTTCAGCAATCGTCGCAATACAATAAAGAAAAAAAGTCGACAAGATGTCTTCAAAGCCGAAGAACCAGATCCGCGTTACGTTCGTGTGGAACGGCCAATGTTTGGTCATCTACATCTGATTTTGCGAAAACGTCCAGTGAGTGAGCAATGTTGCGCGCATACATATCAATTGGTTCGAATTGGATGCAATTTGCTAAATCACTTCCTCGCCATTGACCTAATCCATTAATTTATCCGAACTCCACAAGAAATATCTGTTATTGGCGATTTCCCAAATGTTTCCACAAGCTTTAATTTTTGTTCTCAACTATGTGCACAATGTTATAGTAGTTGATGCATCTACAAATCACACCTTTTCGAAATAGTAAGTAAATTAAATTCGGAAATTGTTATCATGTTACCAGTAAAAGTGTATTAATTTCATATTTATGTGATTAAATGTAAAATATTTATGTTAAATTTGATTTAATACTATAGGTCTTATAAGTAACATTGAGGTATATAAGGTAGCCTATAAATAATCATGTAATAGTTGAATTATAAAAACTGTTATTGTTTATGTGATTCAAAATAAATTGAACTCAAACCTTTTACTACTTATACGTTATTTGTTAAGTAACTTGTACAAGAAACATCAATATTTTGAATTGCTAAGTACTTCCTAAGTATCAAGTAGCAGACAGCTTTGAGTAAAGTCATATAAACATACATAAGTATAGTAAACTGAAGTAATGTTAGTTGTTGTAGTAGGTTGATCTACCTGTTGAAGGCAGCTAAAGGAATTGAACGGTTTGGCCAATTGGCACGGGTCGCAGCGTTCAAGTCAATAGTTTGATTGTCCTTCGTCGCCCATAAATAAATCAATTTGTAGAGATAGTCACATAACATGTGGCCGGCGGTTATCTTTCATTAGGCTGTTGCTCCTCCTCGCATCCTCACGTATGCCCATGATGCACAAGTGAGCCACGAAGATGCACTGAGGAGGATGATCGCCGGGCCAGAAATATCTTCCAGTTCAGAACAGTTTTCCTGCTGATCGCGCCCCATTCACTGCTCCTCCTGTCAGCCTCCTCCGCAGCTGAGAAGGAACGCAAACAAACTCACAGTACATTGACAATGGTCTTGTATTCGATTTTCAGATTGGTCTTCGGCACCCTCTACCCCGCTTACGCATCATACAAGGCTGTGAAATCGAAGAATGTCAAGGAATACGTAAGTAGACGATAATAATTGCCAGTAATTTCCTCCTCCGATCCTCCTACAGGAAGTCCGAGTTCGCGGAAAAGCCGGTAACGGCTTTTCCAACCCCCTTTTTCCAAACGCCGAGCAATTGTTACACAAGCATGACATCCGCACGCGAAACTTTTCATATCATTATTTCGTTAAATATTTATTAACGGTAACTCGTTTCTAGTTTAAACGCTTTCTTCTCTTCCTAATCAATAATTCAACAGTACAATTGTTATCTACCAGATAGATTATCAATATTACAGTTATCATAATTGAATATTACTTTCATCTATATAAAAAAGGTACGAGACAAACATAAAATCATTGAAATTTAAGATTTTTTTTTGTTATAAGTTGGAAATTCCCTTTAGTAAACGTTTGATCTTTGCGCGGCGGGTGGATGTGAAATGCGTTAAAAGGCACGGCCGGGCGGAGTTGGAAAGGCCGCAGCCAGCCCTAAAGTTCTCGATTCTATTTATAAGTTGGTGGAATGCACTCTCCAGTATGCAGCCATCAGCAAAAGGAAATAAAATTCTAGACAAAATTAACTTGAGCGCCGACTTTCGTCGACGGATTTCCCGTTCTTAAAATGAATTCCCTTCGCTCTTAATGATTTGACACTAATTTGATGCGTGTATTTTTTGTTCTGTTGCAGGTGAAATGGATGATGTATTGGATTGTCTTTGCACTCTTCACTTGCGTGGAAACCATCACAGATGTCTTTCTGAGTTGGTATGTCTCATTTTACTTCCAGATTTTTCTTAACTGCATAAGAATCCTAAACTCTAATCATAATCATATTAAGAAACCAATATGGATAATACGAGTTACTATAAATTTTACTCTGTTTTTATCTTGTTACAAGTTATCTTTAATACTTACAAAACGCTTTCATAAAATCTAATTGAACTTATTGTATATCATGTATCTTGTTATTTCTTACTATATGCGAAAATTTATGATGTTAATGAAACTCGCACATATTGTTGTCATTTCACTTGCTTTTCTTGTAAAAGTAACGAGATTGACCATAACCCATCGACCTATTTTACTGAAATAGATTAGTAAATGTAATATTAAGCAGAGCTTGTGTCATAGATACTTTTTCTTGCTGATGGATGCACACTGAAATGCAATTTTATTTTTAGGTTTCCATTCTATTACGAAATTAAGATAATAATGGTGATATGGCTGCTGTCTCCAGCCACGAAGGGGTCTAGCTTTTTATACAGGAAATTTGTACATCCTATGCTTAGTAGCAGAGAACAAGTAAGTGATTGCCGCATCTGACCATGATTATTATATTAATCCAACTGTTGCGATCCGCAGGAAATTGATGAGTATATATCAAAAGCCAGAGAGCAAAGTTACAAGCAGGTTTTGGATTTGGGATCAAAGGGTGTCAACGTGTTGATGCAAACCGCCCTCAAGGTAAGCGAGCAGCTCCTCTTCAACCGCCTCCCATTAATCCCGATTAATATCGTTTAACCAACATGTTTTTTTTTCGTTTTTTTTTTCCTGCTTTCGATTTATTTGCACAAATCGCACGTTTAATGTAGAATTTGCCAAAAGTCGCGATAACACCGAGCGAACCCACTCCTGAGCCGAGCTTCGCTCAAAAGATGACTTCATCAATATCCGATTCCCTCCTGAGTCGAGCTCGAAGCACCGTGGATGGTTTGGTTAGATCTCACACAACCGAAACGAATGCCCCATACTATTCAGATGACGAAATGGAAGTGACGGAGACGAGGAGTCGTCGCGTTAAGAAGGATACCAAAGAGCCGAAGAGATCGAAGTCGAAGACTCGAGTTACCAAGAAGCGGACACAGAAAACTGAAGACTGAGCATTAGGCCTTTTTTATTTTATATAAAATTATGTTTATATGTATTTTTGCCTTATTACATTTCTTTTATTTTAAATAAACTTATTTTTAATTCTTTTCTAATTCCGCTTAATCTTTTAGCACTCTCACATAGTCTATATGCATGCATGCCTTTTCTTGTAACCTATGTAAGTGGTTTTTGGTTAATCTTTTGTTTGAAAATATCTTATCTTTAGGTTTAATTTGATATCGACTTGCTATTTTTTTAGAGTGGAGGTGGTTTGGTGAATCAAATAAAGAAGAGTTACAGTTTGAGCGATTTGAGTGATCATCGGGTCAGGGAGGAAGGCGCCGATGAGACCGATGTTATGATCACAGATCCTAGGTTGTTGAGGAAGAGGCAGAGTCCGAGGAGGACGCCTTCTACTTCCATGTATTTCTCGGAGATCGACGTGAGGACGGATGCGATCGTATCCGTTCAGTCTGCCGAAGATCTGAGTTCGGGGTATTCGAGTGGCGAAGCTCTAACTCATCCGATCAAAGGACGGGAGGGATTGGTGAGGACCGCTTCCATAGGCGGGAACAGGGCCAGGCCAACGAGAGTCACCAGGTCGACGGCTGTTCCAAAGAAAAGCGCTACCACCGACGTGAGTATTCTTTTAGCAAAATACCAGAATAACTTACTTAAGTTCTAGGAATTTTGGATATAAAAACATCATTTGTAACTCAGTATTTCCAGTCATTTCTACTGCTTTTAGTTAAGATAATAAAGTTTACAATATAAATTTATACAAGAATAATATTACCAATCACATAAAATAATCATCCTGAAACATATGAAGTTTCGAATTAATGAATTGCTTGCAACTTGAATTTCATTGAATTATTTAGTATTTTTTTTAATATAATCCAATTCCTAGATCTTCATGTATGTTCAATCTAAAATAGAAGAGTTGCTGATCTTAATTGATTTTGTACTCTTTAATATCTTTATCAAATTTCACAATATTGTATAATAACACAAAAAAAAAGAACAAAACCTGGCCATCATGTGTCGGGATGTCTTCGCTTCAAGTCACTGTTTTTTTGTTTTCTTTTTCTTTCTCTCCCGTTATTCTTTAAAGGCCAACTCAGAGTTGGAATTAGAGGAGTCTAAAAGTATAATTGCACAGGCCGATTCGTCGAGCGACGAGGACTTTAAAGATATGGAAGAGATGGTTCCGAAAGCAGGTAATTTGATTGATAGTACTATTGAAACCGAAGGTGGTGATGATGGTGGTGTGGATGTGGCGAAAGCCGACGAACGGTCGGGGAGGTATCACAAAAGGGCGGCCCCGGAGCCGCCGACCATAAAGGCCACCCTCGTCCTGAAACCTGGAGTCGTGAAGCCGACGAACACGGGCATCGCGGTGTTCTGCCATTCGCCGAAGCTAAAGAGGAGGAAGAGCGTGTCCAGGTCGCCTCAAGTACAGAGGAAGAGTCTGAAGGAGACGTTGCTGATGTTACCCAGAAGGATGGGACTGCAGATCAAATCTAAAAGCCAGACAGACGTCGCGAGAAGCGACGAGAGTTCGTGAACTCGCACACACTCCTCCCGCCACGAAATAAATAAAACAAACGACCGATTCGAAAACGATACCTAGATCAATTAAACATATACAAATCAAGGCATGATAAAGCTGTGTGAATGTTGTTGGCAAATCGATATAATAACATCTGGCGTTCTGTGTTCTTGTTTTGGCTATACTTTTAACCAAATTTAACGAAAAACCTAATTGGATTTTCTTTTTCAACAAATTAGCTCTAGTTCTTATGTATGGGAAATTTTGCACTTACTTCCTATATCATTTTATTTCAATAATTTTGATCTCCCCGAGGATATCATCTTAATCTAGTCGCAATTATAAAAATCTTGCAATCTTTGCTTTTATATTTTCTGGCTTAAGATGATATGCTTATGTAAATCTGCCTTTGTTCGTAATGCTTGAAGCTACAAAACCAACCCATACACATAATCATATTCTTATCCATGTCAAGCATCATTATCAAACAAATATTATTTCATAATACAGAGGTATTTTTTTTACATAATACTAACATACAATATATTACCTAAAGTTAATTTAAACGCTTTGCTTTAAGCTTTAATAACAATACAAATGATGATATATAGGTTTAATTATATTCTCTTAAATCTAATTATCATTTAAGTTAATAAGACTAAATCTTTTTTTTATAGTTTTAGGAATATGACAATAAAATATATTCGTTAATTGTATATTTACAAATATTTTTGATACGGCTTTCTTTAGTAACTAATTTATAAAATTGTAAGTAACTTTTACTATTAGCTTATTTAACTAATGTGGAAATTAGGAAACAATAAGTTGATGATACTTTTATGTGTTTCACATATATTATGTTATATTTTGCTTCTATTAATAATATTACTGAATAATGATTATTATTTCTTTGTTTGCTTTTTTACTTAATTATATTTTACCAGGAGTTTTGTTTCATGTTATTCTACGAATTTACTAATTTACATTTTGCTTCCAATAATCAATAATTCTATAACTAATATACAGTTTCACCTCTATTTTCAAATAGTTCTATATAGTGGAACCTCGCTTAACGAGTTTAATCCGATCCAAAATTTCCGGATCTTTACTTACATAATGAAACATATTCAAAAATATACAATCAGGGACTTCTCTTCTCATTGTCACTCGTTATGCGAGTCATTTTTCTTAATCAATTAATTTTGCTCATTAAGCGAAATGCTCGTTATGCGAGGTTCCACTGTATAACTTATATAGATAACTTATATAGATGAAAAAATAGTTCTCAAAGGACAAAATACGTTTTTAATATACATTTGTTTTTTAATTGACAATAAAAGCAAATAAAACTCCTTGCAATATAACCAAATTAAAAAGTTAAGTAAGTCTGGATTTGCATAAATAAGATTCTGAATTAATCTTCGCTTTGGATCGCATTAATGCTAAGCTACAGCATAATCCAATTTATTTGTGCCCGGGTTTAATAATTTGAAATCCTTGATGGATTCCGTAACTAATTGAGATATAAGAAAACACGTAAACCTTCGCAATGTTGCGTAATTCTAAATTTAGACTCTAAAACGAAGATTTTATCGCCACGAAACAACACACACATTACAATCATCAATAAACCAAAAAAAATTGGCATCGCGTACACAACAAAAAAAATTGAATACATCACGAACAGCCACATCATTGTACACGTAATTACTGCGTTGTTTACGTGTTTAAATTATTCTGAAGAGAAAAAAAATACATTGGAAATACTTGGAATTTATTTTTATTTATTTGATCACAATAATTTAATAACAAATTTTATTTTACATTCAATTTAAAGAATTTAGAAAAATATTTCTGAAAATACTTATTCTCTGGTAATGTTTTCAGGTAACTCAAGAAAGGTTTTTTTTTTTCTTAAACATCCCCGTTGTTTTCCTAATTGATTTTCCATCCAAAAGTAGGTATAAATTCCATTGTGCAAAATTTCCCCTGCATCCATCATTGACTCAACGATGATGATTTCCATCAGCTATAGCCAATAGGTTCACAAGTAGATATTCAACAGTTGATTTTTTTTTCGTTTGTGTTTTCTTTGTTGGTTTTTCTTATGATTTAATTTAATTTTTCGTTGGTGTTTCTTTTTTTATATATAAATATATTTAGACTTTGTACGAGACTCGTAGTTTGAGAAAACAAAATTGGATTTTCTTTTTTCAGGAGGTGGCTAGTGCGACGTTACCACGTGTCAAAAAGGCGGTGAAGAAGAAAACTCTATAAGCGCGCAACACACGAGCTCGCTCACCTTACTTAGTTCATTTTACTTATTTATGTAATACTTGTGTATCTGTCTCCAATATGCATATGCGATATGATTATTTAATTTTTCAATTGTGACTCATTTAACGTGTCTGTGTGTTTATGTAACGGTTTCTACCGATTGGGGCGGATGCCCGACGTTAAGTTTCTGTAAATGATTGTTAGATTTTATGTGATGCGGAAAGATGAAGAACAAAAAAAAACAACGTGAAAGATGAAGAGAAATGTTCGTTGTTTCCTTTGCTTTTCCTTTTTTTTTTATTTGTTTTTGGTAATTAGGTATACCTTTATATCAATACCGAAAGAATTAAAAAAAAAAACAGGAGAGTTTTACGAAACAGAACCGAAATCATTGCTCAGTTAATTATGTTTTTTTTTCTTTTAAATGTTGTCTTCTGTTTTTCTATGATCGTATTACCGTACGAAATATATATATATTTTTTTTTCTGTATGTATGTATAGAGAATAAAAGTAGAATCCGAGAACGGGAGAAAACCATGCGTCGTCTTTCTATTCTCACAATTTTCCATCCTCTCTCATTTTGTTTCTCTTCTCTTTGGGACGGTAGATTTTTAACGACCGTGCCCTTTAAATCCTCGACCACCCTCCGGAGGCCCAAAGAAGAATTGTCGGACGGACGAACCTTTTTTTACCGCTAAAAACGTGCTGACTCACAGCCAGCACCATCTTGAAGTAATCGAACATTTTTGTCCCCTTCAACATGTTTTTATTATTACTTTTTTTTTCAGATTAAGACGAGTATTGTGGATGGATTAGACTAGACAAGATCAGGTAATGAATAGCGGTCGCTCGATTCAATTAAGGGCGAAAGACCAGACCCTACGTGCAAACACCGAAATATTTGTTTAGGTTTGAGAGCAATGTTTATCGAATCGTTTTTGCGCATCTTCTCATCCTTAATGGCTGTTTGATAGTAAACCTGATATGGTTAATCTCGAATGCGTCCTACCAATTCAGACCCTAAAGTTTCTTGTCTATTTGCTCTATTAGATTCAGAAGATATTAATGTATTTTCTATGTTTCCACCAACCAAGCACTTATGAATACATATATAAATGGTTTATTTATTCATATTTAAGATAAACATCATATTATATATTACATTTAACAATTTATGAAGAAAAATAAACATTAGTTATTGAAATTTCTATAACTTATTATAGAATATAAATTTATTGAATTTTAAAGAAATTTTTTTATCTCAATTAAATTGTTATTAAGTAAAACTAAAACTATTTTTTTATTTATTTACATGTGAAATATTATGAATACAAAGAAACAGTTATTGTTGACATTTTTGTTTTTCGGAATGATTCAGGCAAGGTTCGTTTCAGAAACTTTGTCCTGGTTTCACACACGTTGAATTATTTTTATTCACTTTGTGCTCCAATGTGAATCACCGGAAAATCCGCCTGAAAGTGAATTGTACGTATGCAAATTGTCTTATTTTTATATATTCGAATGAAACAAAAAATACAATAACTAATTAACGCTCGTGGAAGGCTATGACGAAACAAAACATTTTGTTGTCGACAAAAGCGACACGAAATTACCTGTCAAAATGTTTATCGCGACGAGCGTCGAATGTGCAGTGTTGTTATTTCTACTACCGACTCTATTTATTTATTATAAGCGATGAAAACCCTTCTGTGATGTTTGTTATTCGTGCAGCGAACGTTTCCTAACATGTTCACAGCTACAAAGTGGTGAGAATTTAGTTTTCAAGTAAATTATTTTGTACCTTTACACAACAAAAATTAGTTAATTATTATGTTAATTGATAATTAATGTAAAATGTTATAGATTTAAACAAATAATAGAAATTAAAAGATTTGTTAAAGTAACAATTCTAAATATTATAAATTTACATACAAATTATGACATAATAAATTGACAGAAATTTGTTTTATTAGAGACATCTTTGATTTTAATTAATGTAATTACTAAATACTAAACAAATCTATTAATTATTTATATTAAATCTTAAATTTTAAGTGCAAAGGTGAAGATTTATTGTTGTTTGAACATAATAATATTAAGTAAATATTATTAAATTGATTATTTTCAATTCGATTTGCTAAATTATCTTATTGTTTATTGCTTACTGCGACTCGCAACTTTTCCATGCGACTGCAACGGAAATAACTCACTAACAAAATCACACTTTTTCTTTCCAACAATAGCTTTAATTTTATTCCTATCTTACAATGCAGTCTGCAGAATTTTACTCGGCACTTCTTTTATCCAGATGTGATTTTTTTTTACAACCTTGCCTCATATCCAGATGCACGCCTAGAATTTGTTCTTTGTCCGCATGTGGCAATTCTTTGTTATTATAATTACTTTGGGACATATTTCTTTCGTTACATGTGCTAACTTTAATATAGCCATTTCCTAAGTAGTACTATAATGCACAAGCTTGTTTGAACCTGTTTGGAGGATTTCTTAAACAGTTTAAGAACTTTAAATATTAGTTAGAATTATAATTATTATTAGATTTTATGTGTTGAAAAGTTAATTGTTTAGGTCCAAGTACATTGCTTTGGGGTATACCACAATTTTAAACATAAAAATTAAATTTTACATATCTAATTTTAAAATAACCTAACAATGTTTTTAGCTTTTAAATATTTATTGAACTAATAAAGACTACTATAGACGAATATGAATGAATCGGCATTGTTTCATAGTTCAATATTTATTTTTGCAGCCGAAATGTTCGAAGCCTACTGCTTCCAACACAGATTAATTTCCATGACAATTAAAGTCAATCGATTTATTGATCTGCTCTCCACGAAACCAAAACAAATGAAATTCATCTCGCTTCGCTGTTTATATTTTGTGAACAAAACACTTCTGTAAACATCATTTATTTACATAACATACTATGTAAATACATCATACATCTTTCCAAGTATTAAAAGTGCAGTAGTTAGTTATTAATAGGACAGTATTCAAAATATTATTTGTAGTAGTTTATTACAATGTTTTATCTAAAAACATAACCACTTGAATTTGAATACACATATATTTTCATTCGTTATAGTTTATTAACTTCAACAAATAATAAAATAAAACAAATTTTATTTGGTGATTCTAATATTTTATGTATTTTTTGTTTGCACATATGTTTATTAAAATTTTGCACATTCAAGTAAATGTTTGTTATTAATGTATATTTTTATAATGTAAATGTTACAATTTTTACATTTATTTATTGAATCTCTTTGGAATTGTATTAACTTTTCTATCTCAACTTACGTTTTTCAATTTTCTTATTATGTTAGTAAATTTCAATTTCAATTCAAATTGTGTACTTTTGTTGATTATTTTTGTGAAAAAATATTTTCATTTCTAATCCGAACTTAAATTGTTAACTAATAATAACAATAGAAAGTTATTTTCTTATTATGATAGTAAATTTCAATTAATTTTAATAGTGCACTTTTGTTGATTATTTTTGTGAAAAAATATTTTCTATTTTTTTAAGTTTTCTGATGAATTTCTTTCAACTTTAGTCTGTTTCTATGGAATATACAGCTTTAATATTATTTTGTAAATTCGGTGCTCTCTAATTTGGCCACGTAAATAAGAGAGTCCAAGCCTGAATCTCGTTCTGGCAATCTCCTTCTAAATTAAGAATCCTGAATCCTCCTTTCAATCCATCCATAGAGAATGCTGGGAATCCGGCGTTAGGCTTATTATATCCAAATGTTGGGAACATCAAAATTAAACTCGCTTGCATCGCGAGCCGTATACTTCCCCCTTTTTTTTATTATCATCAACCTATTTCAAATAACGATGTTTACATTTGCTCTACAAAAACAACATCAAGTACAAAATTCTAGAATTGAGTTATTCAAATTATTTTCTGCTGTCTAAATATTTGTGCCTTTTCTGTATTGCACCTGCTAAATTAATTATTGTATCTCATCTCGAGATGTTACAAACATTATTATGATTCTGTGGAATAACATCTTCTGTTTGTCTTTACGGTGCATAAAATCCCGGAATATTTTCGCCTCGAATATTCTGCGTGTTTCGTCGTCCTTTAATATTCTTTATCTATGAGAGGGGGAGAAGAATGAATCGAAACGGAGTTTACAATTGCGTTTGGTCACTGTAAGCACGCACTTGGTGAACGTCGCGTTCAACTTAAATGTTGTAAATGCTTACACGATGTATTTTCAGCATATGTATCGTAAATAAATAACAAGCAAATCGTATGCCAGAAGGATCAAAGACCTCGACCCTGCTCATAAAACAATATATATTGCCATTCGGGATATGAAAACAGTCAATAACTTTGGCGAGATAAGGGGGATACATACATTAATATGAGCATTAAACGTTATATATATTTTATGTGATTAACGCATTTCCTGCTACGATTAGAAACCTACTAATATTTGTTTTCAGACATGAATTACGCAAACTGTCATTAATTAATTTTGTAATGAGACACAGTATAATTATCGTTTTCTTTCAAACTAAGTAATATTTGTTTTGTAGCATAAATTTTACTTTAGTTTTACAACAGTTTCATTAAAACAATTAAATATTTAATTTTTATATGTGAAAATTTCATTGTTGACAAAATTTCATTATTCTTATAAATATAGAATTCTTATAAACATCCACAAATTAAATGATAATAAAATAGAATAATAAATGCATTGCAACTTTCTGAAAAATGTTACTGAAAGAAACGGACTTAGAGCTTTTGGAAACAAATGTAACCCTGAAAACCAGTTTGGATTTCGAGGAAAACACACATAAGAAGGAAATTAACGGATGGGTGCCCAAAGTATACCTTTTACTAACGTATAAAAGGAAACTTAAAGTTTGTCCAGTTAAAGTTGCAAGATGAAAGCTCTCTTCTCTTTACAATATTTCTAGGTGATTTGTAAATCCGATCTACAAAGCAATATTGTCTTGATAACACACACATTTTTATTTTATTATATTTATTTATAAAATTAATAAATTTAGTACCAAAAAATTATCAAATTTTGATAGAATTAAAATAATAATTTAAAAAAAGAACAATTGTTACTATCATGAACATATTACTACTTTAACAAAGTTTCCTATGTGATAAAATGATTAAGTCTCACTTCATAGTGATGTTGGCATAAGAAATTCAATTTCTTAAATTGATTTGAGTTAAGATGTTAATTGAGTAAAGTCATGTAGTCTTGATGATGAAACTGAAGTATGACAATTCTAATCCGAACTTAAATTGTTAACTAATGATAATAATAGCAAGTTAGGATTGAAAATATTTATATATGTTTAGAAATCATGAAATGAATTATGTAATAAAATGTTGAATGTTGGTATTGATTAATAAGTTAAATTTATGAATAAATGTTGGCAGAATTTGTAAATTGTTTTTAAAGTAATGTCAGTGTCATATCTTAAACGTTTTGATTTTTCAATTATATTTCAAGTTGTGTAACTTATTGGTGAGTAAACAATTTTTTGTAGGATTTGAAAATTGTTTTTTAAACAAATGTCAGCAAGAAATTTAAACTGTGTTCTGGAATAGTTCATACGGTCATAAATAGATGAGTCGTTGTCCGTTTGCTTTTGAAGTGTTACGTCTTGGGTGTTGCGATTTGGACAGAGAAAAGTGGAGGAACGGGTAAAAACAAAAATTGTTATTACTAAACGACGCTGTTTTATTAATTTGCTATTTTGTTCTTATTAGTTTTTCGAAACAAAAGTCGTGGAACGCGCATGATCGTGCTGTCAAATAGGTTGAGTAGGTGAAATGTGCGAGCGTTTGTTCACTTTCCCTCCGCTGAGTGTGCATTTGTGCTGTGCTGTTTAGTAGAGAGGTGGCCCGAGTTCTGTGTGTTTATTGCAGAGAGAGTGCAGTCCGAAAGGAAGGCAGGAAGCGAGGATTCCGAGGAGGAACAAGGGCCCCCGATATCGACGGTGGCCATCGTCCAGCAAACGTGCGGATCGAGTCTCCAGGACACGCAGAGCAAGGGAGATTCCCAGAAAATGGATTCGTAGTGGGCCAAGTCGGGAAAAGCTGTTGCTAGCGCTAGTAAGGAACAACCAACCATTTTACCGTGACTCCGCGCGAGCCTATCGCCCGCTGCTCCCCAAATTCCCTATCCACAACGGCCCTGACAGCCCCCCATCGCCGCAGCAACCCCAAGGGGATACCCTGACGCACGACCATCGCGGCCTCAGACCCCCAGCCCCTATCATTTTGATAGAATAAAACGCGAAGCAAAAGACGACAGCACAGCCATATATACATGTTATGACACTCCAAATTTAATAATAATACAAGGCTAATTAGCACCTTCTAAATCCAGACATGTTCGTACAACATTTTCTCTCGCTCACCGTTTTCTCTCCGTTTCTTAACGCACGGCAGAGAAACAACAAGAAGTTAAAAAAAAGAAGCGCAAAGCCTTCTTTATTCCTCCCAGTTTATCTTTAGCTCGCTTGATAACTCATCGAGATAACTCATTAAATACAAAAAAAAATGATTCCACGCAGCAACAACAACAACAATTACACTCCACGACTTCCCCTCCTCCCTAACCTCAACCTCTCAGTTTCTAAATCTATTTCAAGTTTCTCCATTCCACCCAAGCAGCGAAGATTTTTCCGTTTTCTATACACCATCCACGTAAACACCAATGAATTGGTCTTCCCCCGCCTACAACTGGAAAATGCCTGAAATTCAAATGATCCACGAAGAGACATCCATCCATCCATCCATAAACAAGTCCTTCTTAACCTGCTTCCGAAGCTCTGATAAGCGCAGGGATTAACGGACAACATTCATTAGGAATACGGCTAAATTAAAATGGCGATAGCAGGCCTTGATAACATTTATCATGTTTGTAGCGCCAGTCAACTTGGTGTTCCAGTCCGCTAATTGCTGTTTGATTCGCGCGACAAACTTAGCCGTCCCCGTCTGTGTTCTCTCTATTTGTTTTTAAATACTGGTCTCTGCCGGTTCAACCCTTCGTGCACACACACACACATCGCAGTCAACGGAAAAATAGAAGGAGGAGGTGGAACGAGTTCTCTCGGCTTTTTTTGTACCCTCCATAAAGAGGGCATTGACCAAAACAATAGAAACGTTTTAGAGGTTAGGTGATGCTTTTTTTTTTGGTGTTCTGCTTCTGTTACATATTTTTCCGACCATTCCTGAATTCCGACTCTTTGTGCTTTTCGGCAATCAATGAAAACCCGTTACGTTTCTTACCGAAACCTTTCAAACAAACTAAAATATTTGCAAACTTCAAGTATTTCTATTACATAAAAAAGTTTAATTATTTTTTAATAATTTATCTTAATGCAGCTATCATTGTTTTCGATTACATATTTTTGCAGTAAATTGCAAACTTTTGTTCATTTCACATTCAACGAAATCCGTTTGAAATCTGCAAAAGATCAAGAAATCAATTTTAAATTGATAAAATTATACTCGATTTCAGCAAACTAAATATACCAATGCTAATAATAACTGCATTTTTTGTATTGCGAAAACTGTGACAAATCTTAAAATTCCTGAATTCCAAATCTTTATATATTTCTTTTTGAAGTTTTCATAACTAAAATATCCCAAGTTTGATAAACTATTTGAATTAATAGACTATTTTCTATAATGTTTATACAAAATACTTATTGAGATATTATTTAGATATCTTACATAAAATATTTTTATAATAAACATTTGTGTTTGATATTTTACGAAAGTTAAACATCCGTGACTTGGACAAATAATAGAATGGAGACGATTTGCTTGAGTTAAAACTTCACACATTTACATAATAGATAAAGCTGAAGGACCTCGTTTTCTGATTATGATAGAAACCTCTTAACAAACAAATATACTTTTAAATAAATTGATAATTCTATTACCACCATTATAACAAACAGATCATAAAGATTATTTCAAATATGTTTGTAAATACACTTTAATACAAAGTATAAATTCAAATGTATGAATTAAATTCGTAATTATAGAAACTCAGTAAGTCTAATTTTAATATGGTTGCGACACGTTTGATCCCAGTCTAGCCATAATAAGAATATATAATTGTAAAAACATTATTAACATCTTTTTTTATGCAAATTACGCATTGCTTTTGCGGATGTGTTGTCTAACCGGCGCCACTGCAAAATGTCACATTTATTTGTAAATCGTTGATAATTATAATTGTTTATACGAACAAATATTTGTATAATTTTTGCATAGAGTATTAAAAGAAATACGTCAATTACTTAATCTATTCGAATATCCTACTTCAATCTTTATTTCTATTCATGTTTGCACAAACAAAAACTTTACTCATTTGAAAACTATTTTGTAACCAATCTTTAAAAGCATATTTAGTAGCGAATAACATTTTACTCATCAGATTTTTTTCCTATTAGTGATATTCAATGTAAGATCATTGATTTTTCATATATAGTTTATTCAAAAGTTATGAGTTTTCTATGCTAAACATAATACAATGTTGGCTGTGTGTAGTTTCTCGATTTATTTTCATACATATTTATCATTGTCGGAAACAGTTAATATGCTGTGGTTGTGGATAATAAAAATAAGATAATCATTTATTATTAATAATAATAATAGTTAAGATTGTTATAAATGTTATTTGTTTTCTCAAATGGTGAAACAATAGGTTTTGAAATTAATTGTGTCGCACTTAAATATATTATTTAATCGCTACTGAAAGAAAATAGGTCGATTCATGATAATGCAATTATGCAACAATCGTAAATGTAGATAATGTGAATGCGATCAAAACATTTGTGGTGCTCAAAATTCATGTTGTGTGTAATTTGAATTATCTCTCGAATAGTATCTTAAACAAACATATTAGTATAGACGCTGTAGACTCATATTTTTTTTAAACTAAACTACAGTATACTAACTTTAACTTAAAAGCAGCTGCGTAAATGTGAAATAAACTCGGTATTCTGAATATTTTCTGTATTCTCTAGAAGAAATATTTCTTCAATGTGTTATGTCATTGTGTTGAAACTTGTTATTTTAACTTTAAAAAAAATACTGCATTCAATTTGATACAAGTTATCTTTATTTTTGTTTATTCTATGTATAAAATATTGAGTCAACAGTAATGATCGTCTTTGTAAGAAAATGGAAACGGCTGCCGGCTAAGCTTCGTTAGCCGGCAGCTACAAGCATAAATCAAAATCTGAATGCTAGAGTCCTAAATTGGTCTTCTTATCCTATCCAAGTTTCACCGATAAATGCCTTTTGGTTTAGATTATTTTTATAATGCGCGCATCGTACTGGCACAGTTTGTGCTGTAATCGAGTTCCGCAACTGGGCAAGACAACATATCTTCTATTATTTTTTTTGCGCCAACTATAAGAGCATTTTCATTCGGATTTAATTAAGGTTAATTTGTTTCGCAACGAAGCCGTGTTTAAATAACATACAAACAATTTTATCAGTATACACTTTTTTTTCATTTTTTTTTTCAGAGATATAATTGCTGCAACGGATGGTAGGGAAATACAGTTTATAATAACACAAATGAAAGAAGATCATACATGCAAACGTTTCCGTTGCTTTTGTCTGGCGCTATTGTCGTGTTGCGTAGGCGGTTGCAATTATCGGTTTGCAGATTTATTCCTGCAGCTACAAAATAGAAAAAAAAATGGTTTCGATAATTAGAAAAGCGGTTTAGTTTAACTGATCGTCATTGTTTCGCGTTGTTATTGTTGTTGGATCATCGCGTTGTGTCCCAAAGTTTGACTCACTTGGTCGATTATGGACGGCTGTCCACATCGATCAATAGTTTTATTATTTTAACAGTCGGAATCGCACATATCTACCTATTTTTTTGATATTGGTATGCAGTGTACAATGTTTTTTTGCGCAAATACCCCAGAGATTATATTTGGAGTGCTATGATTAGAGTATTGTGATTTGATTTGGCTTCAACCTTTTTTTTGTTTTGAATAAATTCAAAAGCATTGATGTGTATATTAATAATTATGACTATATGATAAAAAAATGGTATAGTTAATTATTTAATTAAAGTTTAGATCAACAAAAAGTATTTTTATGTTTGGGAAACACTGTTTTTATAATTATTTAATTTTTTTACTAATTGAATTTGTTGCTTAATCTAGTTTTTGTTTTTGTCTTTTTAGAGCAGAGCCGGTTTATTTTCTTTTCATCTCGTTCAATCTTCATTTAATAAGAGAATCAAAGAAGGCAGGATGGTTTCGACTAGACAGATGTCCATTATAAACGGCAGCAGCGTCGCGGAGTGCTCCACGTCATGGGGGACGACGTCGGCGGGCCCGGATGAGGTGGCCACCAGATCTCGCAACAATTCAATGCACACCGAAGGAGGTGGCAGCTCGGGTAGTAGGAAGTCGTCCACGTCGGAGAAGCCCGCCAAGCAACTGCTGGAACTTCCCGTCGAGGTGCTCGAGAAGATTTTAGGCTTCTTCACCTTCGAATCACTCTCCCAATTCAGACGAGTAAGATACCAAAAATGCGTGCTTCAACCAAAGATAACATCCGCCATTCCGTAGGTCTCCACTAAATTCGACGCCGTTTGCGGACAAATGCTGAACACGTCGTTCCAAAAGCTGCAGACGCAAATGCTCCAACGATTCCAGGTGATCAAGAGCAAAATGCCGAGGCGCGAATCGGCAAGGAGGAACCACCACCTAGCCTGCGAGAGCGACATCATCGAAACCATCCACATGCGTCTGACTCTGCTGCAGATGTCTTTCGGCAAGCACATAGAGCGCAAGCACTGCTGTTTCTTTCCCGGCGAGATACTCGATGAGGTCTACAACGTGCTTCGGCACATACGGACCACACAAAAGTTGCAGCGGCCCTACAAGGTCACAGACGAGCTCTTCGACCTATCCACGATGGCCATGGAGTACTTCAAAGAGAAGATCGAACCCAGCTTGCCGGAAATCGCATATTTCAACGCGGACTTCTTAGATTTTACTGGCACTTTCTCGTGTAAGTTGTATTTTTGTATTACCGTTAAACCTTGACGTACCCTTTACTAATTTACATACTCTTCGCGCTTTGAAAATATCAACATAGTATGTAAATTGCTTCCTTATAGATTTCCTTTACAAGCAAAATTGAACTATTCATTATTGAACATTTCCTCCCGTTGGAATCATCTCAAAGTATGTTTAAATATAATTAATTTTGTAGCATCCGGTACCCAGAAATATCTGGCTATTGACTCTTCGCCACTGGGGCCAGAGGAAACCAAAGAAATAGATAGGCCCAGTTCGGACAACGAAGAGCCTCAACCTCAGTCGAATATGGTGCTGCGTAAAGGCATACGGAAAATAAAGCAAGGTATGAAACGGTATAATAGTCAGCTATCGTTGCTGAGGCAGGACCTGAGGTCGTGCAAAAAGAAAACGTCAGATCAGCAAAAGCAGATCTCGGAGCAACAGAAGCAGATGGCCGAGCAGCAGAAACAGACGGTGGAGTATGCGACAAGGTTGGATGAGTACGACAAGAAGAACGAGGAGATATCGCGCAAATTCAGCACGCTTCTCCAGGAGTTAAACAAGTGCAAAACTGAGCTGCAATACTGGAGATCCAAATCACCAGCGACGTCGCCTTTCTGCACGGGTTGCGGGTCGCAGATGTTGGCTCCTACCGAAGACATCGAGGCCCTGGTGAACCAGGGCGTAATACCTGAAGACATAGAGCAGGCGGCCGAGTTCATTCCGATCGCCAGCACTAGCAAATTAGTCGAAATTGTGGACCTGAAGGAAGAGCCGGTGGCTATAGTGCCAATTGTAAATAATCTTAGTTCTAGTAGTAGTAGTGGCCCGAAACATAAATTGGAGGATAGTACGCCTACCTCCTCAAACGGGATAAAATCACGACGCATCACTAAAAGTCGCAATAAAAGAGTCAGAATTTAAATAAAGCCAAGAAGAAACAGTTAAGAACGAAAGTGATGTAGAAATAACTCCCGACGAGAGTTAAGTTTATACGTATATTACTATTATTATTATTATTTGGTTAAAATAGCTGAAGAAAGTGACCAGTTTTTTGTGTTTATTTTTCTTCTAAAGGTTTTGCCAATAATTTAACAAAACAATTTATAATTGATAGGTGAAATAGGAATAAATCCAAGCAATTTGTTTAGCAATTACATTGAACTTTTGTTGAGTGAAAGACAGTGCAGGAGAAGAGCATAGCCAACATTTGATTTAGGATGTTTAAAAACAAATTATAATATAATATTACGATTATTTTAGTTATATTTTTTGTGTTGAGGCTATGCTTAGGATATATTTATAAACATATATTATACAATTATTTTGCAATTTATCTCATAACGAAGAGAAAGAAAAGAAAACTATGAAGGAAAAATTATATTTGTTTTATTCAATCGTATATTTTTCTTAAAGCTATTATTTCTTTTATATATATATATAAATAAATAATTAAATATATAAATAATTAGATTGTTCGTGGGCCAAAACGTCTTTCAAGACTGACAATTGTGGGTCTCGTGTCCCATTTTATCTCCCACACATACACACAATTTAAGAGTCCAGAGTTGATGATGATGAATAGTGAAGAAGAAGAAAAAAAATTGTAAGAAATAAACAAGGAACTTAGATTTTAGCTTTTTTTTGAATGCACTGCAACTTTTGCGTTTCTTCGTAATCGCCACCGTTTTCGCAAGATAGGATGGAGAAATGAAGAAGTAAAGACAACAAAATGAAAGGAAGAAGAGAGTACAATAAATAATTATAAATAATTAGCTTTAAATTTTTAAAATGAAAAAAAAAAAGAAAATAATAATAATGAACCTAGTGTATATTGTTTAACTCAGGAAAAAAAAATGTAAAATTTACAAAAAAAAAATTAAATCAACATATTTTGATAGAAGAAGTAAATGCGCTGAAGAAGAATGAGGTTTTCAATTTTGATTTGATGTGAATCAAAAGTGAACATATAATTGCAATGAATCGTCCAAATAAAACAAAATTTTCATCGTTCGCTGAGAATTGTTTTTTTTTTTCTCTCTAGATGTAATGTATAAAAATATATATGATATTTTCCGTTTTCATGAGAATCTTTATTATATTTTCGATTGAGCTGAGCTGAGATAAGAAAATGAAATTCTTGATGATGTGATATAAAAAATATTTTAGAAGATGAAGAGAAAAAAAATGAAAATAATAATTACAAACTATGTCAATATTGAGAAAAGAGAACTAATTATATTTCTTATTCGATGCAGAAAGGAAGAAAACCAACCACCCTGAAACTTAAGAAAAAAACACGACGATTATGATTATATTGTAATATTATTTAATTTCTCCACGCAGATGTGTAAATACTGAAATACAATACAAAACAAAAATATTTATTGATCGATAATATTTGTGTATATTTTACTCTCTGTATTGTGCTTTTTATATATATACTTATATATTAAGTTGCACATATAGAAGAACAATATATAAATAAATACTATATGTATATTCTTAATTAGTGTACAGAGCAGGAAAAAGGAAAGAAAAAAGTGAAAGAAACTTATATCAAAAGTAAAGAAAATTTTATTCTCTCGATAATTATTATTTGTTCTTAAATCAACTTATTGATTATTTAACATATGTGCTGTAAAGATGAAGTGACCTTTTCTTTGATTTCGGACGTTTAGTATATAGTTTTGATAAGCATTATGTAATTTTAGACGCGAGGTGAATTAGGACGGGTGAGCGAAATTGATCTATTTTCAAAGAAAGAAATTAATTAAGGATGAATACAACCAAAAGTGCGTGTAATAAGGAAGAAGAATAAGTGTACTCTGTATGTTATTTAGTTGAAATAAATATATATTGAAATGATTAATGTTATTGGGAGAAGACAGGGAGAGAGAGACGATTTTCGTTTTGTTTTTCGTAACGTCAAATAATTCGATGAGTAGGCGAGACAGATGAAAAACAAACAAACAAACAAGAAAATAATTGATCATAGATTGTTTAATACACTAATATTTAGTACAATTATCTTTAATTTTATCAATATCTAATATACTAATTTTTTTGTTAATTTATGAAAATATATTATGATCTCAAAAAACATCATAAACACGCACGTTTTATTACACCCCCAACATTTTTACCGTTCCCATAACCATAGCCCTTTTAACTAATAATTATATGAAAAAAAATAATTATAAATTTTCAAAATCAATATTCAATTAAAGATCAATTCATTACATTAGCTAATAAAAATAAAACTTTGATAAATGTATTAAACTAGTTTTAGCCGAAAATACAATACAGTAAAACCTCGCTTAACGAATAACGAGCAAAATTAATTGTAAGAAAAATAAGTCGCTTAATGGGCGACGTTTCGCATAATGAGTGACGATGAGAAGTCCCAAATTGTGCGCCTTCTTATATCATTTGTAAAACTTGTAAATTTTTGAATACGTTTCACTATACGAGTATTAAACTCGTTAAGCGAGTTTCCACTGTATTGTCGTATCATATTTCAATGTTTAAAATGTGGCTATGGTCGTCTATATCACGAAAATCTGATACAAAAGGACGTTGGTTCGATTCCCAAAAATCAACAAAAATTTGTGGGGGCTGATAAACCCGAAAGTGGTAGAAATAGGGCCAAAAGAGAAAAAAAATGTTTAAAATAGATTAGTGAAGTTGAATCTATGTGAAATAACATTTCTATGTCAGTTTGTATGATTTGTTTCGATTTTTAATGATTCTAAATGCATTTAAATGAATAGAATTGCAAATATCTGAAAGTTATTTGCAAAATTATTTGAAATTTGAAAATTCTCCACGCCACCTATAGTATGTAATACAGAAGTATAGCAATGCAACAACATTGTTGCCAACATCGGCAACATAATAAAATGCTCTTGTTTTTATTTGCTTGTAATTACAACAGATGATATCTATTTCATCAGCTGATGATAACATTTGAGAAATAAACTGATAATGTGATTGTCAAGGACGCATTAGTTAACAACGGTTTGTGAATTCATGTATACCTAAGTACACAGTGTCCACTCTATCCACCTATTATTCTTTCAATGTTGCTTCTACCTTTCTGCTTCTTCTTCTCTTCTATTGTTTAACTATTTTCTATGCTATGGATAATTTAAATTACATTCCTAATCACTATGGATATGGTAGTATATTTCCAGTTGTTTACATCTAAACCTGCATACTTACATCAGAGATGGCTTTGTTGTTGTAGGTGAGAATTACCCGGGACCCAGCCACATCGAGAAACCATTCAATAGGGGCAGTAAGGATAATCTACATAAACTAAACATCAACTCGATGCAGGCCTCAAACAGCTTGTCCACACAAAACTCAGGTAAACATTCATTGAACACTATAACTCAATACTAACCATAACAAACTTTTGTTTATTAATATTGACTAGTTTATATTAAATATTGTAATTTCTATAAAATAATTGTTGCACATTAATATGTGAATTTAAATATAGATCAGCTTATCTGAGAAAGTTCATGAGGTTTGCAAATTTTTTTATTTATAATTAATAATATATGTATAATCACATCTCTGGATTTGCTTGTTGTTGAGTAATGGATATTGTTTACTTGCTGATATGTCTTCAAGCAATTAATTGTTTACTTGTTTGGTTTTATAGAAGATGAAGAAGAATTGGAAGCTAAATGTTCGATAAGTTATAAAGAGAGGCGAAGGGAGGCCCACACACAGGCAGAGCAAAAGAGGAGAGATGCTATTAAGAAAGGTTATGACATGCTGCAAGAGTTGGTTCCCACTTGTCAGCAAAGTGATGTATCGGGTATGTTTAATTAGACTAGGTTTTCCCAATTAGACTTTGTTTATTAAATATGCTTTTTTTTAAGGATACAAATTGAGTAAAGCCACTGTACTTCAGAAATCTATTGATTATATACAGTATCTTCAGCAACAGAAAAAGAAGCAGGAGGATGAGAGGAACGCCTTACGTAAAGAAGTGATTGCACTGAAAATCATGCAAACAAATTACGAACAAATCGTGAAAGCTCAACAGGCTCAACCCGGACAAACAGAGCTTAGGGTTTCGGACGAAACGAAGTTCTCAGTCGTAAGTTTAACATTTCGCATTTATTGAAAACCAATAGTTTTGGACAAGTCTTGTATGTAATTTGTCTTCTGATTGACTTGGGAATAAAAACAATTGTGTCATATAGCATTGGTAGATCTTATGGGATATCGATCTCAGTTCCAGGTAATAATGGACCAATTGTTCGTTACGTTCAGCTCCATAAGTGTTAACAACTTTTCGGAACTATCCGCTGGGGTCTTCACGTGGCTCGAGGAATGTTGCAAGCCCCAAACGCTCAAAGAAACGGTGATACGCGTGCTCCAGCGACATCACTGCAATCAGTCCATGGGCAACCATCCGCAAACCTAGCATCCGTCCACGCGTTATCACCGTTTCTTAGCTATAAGTTCGAATTTAGGTTTACATTTGTTACTATTAATCCGTGATGTTGTCTTATTACTATTGATTTCTTTATTATTATTTTTTATTCTATTTTATGGTGATAATTATTTTTTAGTTGTAAATATCAGATTTTACAGATTTTATTTTGTACACCTTTGCACCTGGATACGTGCAATGGTTATTAATTGTTGATTTTTTTAAATATATATAATATAAATTTTTTCGTAAAAAAAAACGCCATTTGTATATTATATAATAACGATATTATACAAATAATAGTCTATATTTTTCTATTAAGAAAAATTTCATAACTAACATAAGGTTTTTATTATTATTGTGTAAGGATTTAGAAACGAACAATAAAAATGAGAACGATCAGGAATTGAATTAAAACGTAACTGAATTTAGGTTCCAAGTTAAGAAGTCTTATTAAGACTAGTTAACTCCCACCATTAAATATTTCAAATTATTATATCTGATTTTTTTTATAGTAAGAAATTATATTATTTTTATTGATAATGGGAATACAACTTCACAATTTAAATTGAATTGAGACACGCGAAATATGTTGAAAGTATTGCACATGTTATTTGGTGCACATTAAGATAATATTTGTTATTTGTAAGGTATAAAAATCATCTATTTGACAGCGTCAATGTTTGGGAAGACAGAGAAAAATAATAAGCGAGGAATAATAATTAAGTCAATATAATTTTATAAAAATATTTTAACAACCTTTAAAAAATGTTTGTTCTTATATGTATGTAAGGCACCATTCGTTTGTATATTTTTTGGTTATAGTATAATTTAAGACAAAAAAAAATATATAGAAAGAAAATACTGGGATTGCGTCAGAATGTAACCAAGAGAGATCATTTGGTTATTTAACAAATATAGAAAAACAAATTTTAAATGGAATCTCAAGTAAAACCTCCGAAGTTGTCAAATGCAATTGTAATAGGTTCTTTAAAATATGTAAATATATGTATACGTTCACGTTCGTGAAATATGTGAGATATACAACAGAAATGATCCTGTGAAGTATACGATCTCGTTACCAATCTTTCCTGAGCTGCTTCTTGGCAGCTTTGATGAGCGGCGTCAGCGTTGACAGGTCCATTCGGTCATCGAGGAACCGATGTCTGAGCAATTCACTGGCAGTAGCTCTCTCGTTGACGTCCACTTGAAGACAGCAGTCCAGGAAGTCCCTCAGCCTTGAATCAAGTTTATCCCATTTCTCTATCGTCGGTCTGCCGTTAGCTGCGATCAAGTACAGCGCTCTCAGCGGTGGCTCCTTCAGATAGGGCGGCTCCCCGTCGATCATTTCGATCACCATTATACCTAATGACCAGATGTCCACTTTCTTGCCGTACATCTTCCTGGACACGACCTCGGGCGCCATCCAGAAGGGAGTCCCGACCATCGTTTCCCTTTGTTCGTCTCCGGTCACGTTCGCGCAGAACCCGAAATCCGTGACCTTAACAGTTCCATCCATACCCAACAGTATGTTATCGGACTTGATGTCTCTGTGGATGACGCCATGCGAGTGCAGGTAGTTCACACCTTGCAACACCTCGTAGGTAACTGCAGCGATCTGCGCGTCCTTCATGATAGTCTCTGTGACCACGTCGGTCAGCGGTCCACCTTCCAGCAGCTCCATCACCACCCACAGATTCATCTCCAGAACGAAGGCCTCGATGAAGTTCACCAGATTCTTGTGAGACAGATCCTTCAGGATCTTTATCTCGCCGTACAGCAGTTCCTTGCGGTTCTGCCTCGTCATGTCTATGTCCTTTATTGCCACCTTCTGGTGGGTCTGCTTGTTCGTGGCTACGAACACGATGCCCGAAGCGCCCGTGCCCAAATCCTTCATGTCCTTCACGTACTTCGTCTCCGGATCACTGGGATTGCACAGTTTCTTGATCTTCTGCAGGTAATCGTGATCGCTGATGAACTGAATCTCTTTGGTTTTTCTGCGAAGCACCGGTTGCTCCGCGTCCACGCTCAGGTTATCCAAACTCTTGGCGATATCCTTCACCACCGCTTCCTTGGGTTTAACCGGCTGCGGCGTCACCAAAGTCTGCGTTCTGAAAATATAAAGCATTTTTTTGTTGTAGTTTTATAGTAATCTTGAGCATAAACATACATACTTGTCCGCCCTCGGCGGCAAGGCCGGAGGCAATTCCTTCTCCAACTTCTCGTAACTATCATCGCGGCTGCTGTGACCGCCCTTCTCCATAAACCTATCGATGGCATTCGTTTCCTCCTCGATGTTCTTCTCGGTGATGAAGAATTTGAAGTCGCCATGCTTGTGGGTAGCCGTATAATTCAAGTATTTCACTGCGTTCACCGCCGCTTGGTAATTGTGCGACAACTCATCCTCGGTGAACTGACTCTCTGAAGTTAAACAAACATAAATCACACAAAATTTCAATATTTTTTACTGTTGTTTATTTTTGTAAACAATTACCATTCTTTCAATATCCAAGATAATTAACTTTTCAATTCAACTCAAACATAAATTTATGTTTCAAATACCCACAACTCCGTATTTGCAGCATCGAAACACAAAATGTTGTTTCTTTAGTTATTTGATATAAGCATTAAAAATAATTGATCCAGATACTAAAAGCCAATAGACAATCCATTTCGTCAGGTTTCTAACAACAAACGCAAACATCGATTAATTCGTTTGCATTGTAAGACTTTGAAAACAATAAATTTCCGCGCGTGCCTTGATTTCGTCCCAATTCTATTTCCGTCAATAACATTATCTAGTCTCCATTATTTTAGGTTTAACAAAAAAAAAACTAAACTACACTTATTTCATAACTATGAATAATCAATATGCATATTTCAACCTCGATTTTTTTTTATCTGCAAATTTCCGAAATACAACTTGTAAAGAGATATGCAATATTGATTTCAGATAAGATAGGCTAAAAGTCTCTCTGAATAATGGGAAACATTTAATTAACATCTAGATTAGATAAACATTTATAAGAATGTGTAAGTTAACAACAAAATAAAACCTATATAAATTTACAATATGAAAAAGTCCACAACAATTTATTTAAATTCGAATGCAAATCAAAATGAAATCAATTAGATGACCAACTCTTGAGTTTTTTTTAAATATTATTATTTTGATTAATAAGTGGAAACATTGAGTCATCGATAATGCAACGATAAATCAGCAAACACGACGATTCGTAAAATTTTGTAATTGGGAAAACAACAACTAGAACATTAGAAACTACCAGTTTTCATAATTTGAATGATATTATAAATATTTTCACAGAATGTATAGTTACAATTTTTACTTGTTGGAATATTGCCCATTTCATTGTTTATTGAAGCTGCGTTTCATTGCATATTTTTTTTCTTTCATTATTTATTATGAAATGAGTGCCACACTTTGATCCCGACATAAACCATCCGTTTTTTCTTTTCACGCAACATCCTAAAAATGCATCCTGTATTTGAACACTAACGACCTTAGTACTTCCTGCAATTATGTTGATTCTACCTTTAACTTTCTCTTTTACCTAAATCAATACAAATACATCGACAGATTAAGATTACTTCTTAAAAGTAGATACGCATCTACAGTTAATTTTCTATTCGGAAAAAGGAAATTTCATAAAAGAAATGTGCAGGACACGTTGAACCTATACAAATGTATCTATATTTTAACAATTTTACATGTATTTCCAATACAATTGATTAGATTTGAGATAAAATGTAGCGAACACCAATAATATAAACTTTGTACTTTACGTAATAATTTGTACTTGAAAATTACAAAAAAAAATCTCGATAATTTTGCCAGTAATAAACCCTGCAGTTTTCAGCTTCGTCTGACTTTCAAATAGATAATATTCTCAATTGCAGCGAACCACAATGCTTTATATTTGTGCTAAGCAAATGATATTTTTTTTTTGATTGGATAAAATTAGATAAGTCAATTTGTTTCGAGATAAGCCGATTGCGAATTTAATGAACAATTCTACTATTGTTTTGTGTGATTACATACGCTCGGATATATTTTGTTATTTGAGGAAATTTGTAGATATTTTTTAATTAAGTAAGATTATAAAACAATCCAATTAGGTATAAAACTATGCAATTACTTAATTAATCGATATTAGTTAAATGAAACTTATGTTTAAATCGTGTGTAGAATATATTCTGAGTTGTTGAATTATGTCTCTTTGATTCTATTGAAGATTAGCTACGAGTTCTGTACTATTGGATATTTCCTTTCGCCCTCGACTTCCCCCTTAGAAACACGTGCATCACGTATCAAAACAATCCTAAAATAAAACGCAAACTGATTCTATTTAGAGACAAACCTAAATGAATGCTCATAAACAGACGACAATTGGAAATAATATCAAATATTTAAATAATAAAGACAGTGTTTAATCCGTTCCAAAACTTCCAGATTTTTACTCGTTTAGTGAAACATATTCAAAGATACACATAATAGGTGTACACAACTTCTTTTCTCATCGTCACTCGTTATGCGAAACGTCGCTCGTTAAGCGAGTCATTTTTCTTACAATTCATTTTGTGTGTTAAGCGAGGTTCAACTATAGATTTTATTCGCACAATTCTTTACATAAACAGAGGAAAATTAGTAATCTCAGAGTCAGTGAACTGTCTGTACAAATATACTTAAATTCATAAAATATTGATCAAGAATTTTCTAAAGATATTTTTTTATTTAAAAATAGACATGTTCAAGTTATTTGGTTATCATTCAACTGCATAAAACCTTATTTATTATGTAAATATTGTGGTTGATTATGTACCTTAATTACGTATTATGATAGTGAAATAACGTCACAAAGTAATAAATAAATTGTTTTACACATTTAGCTAATTTTTATAATTACTATAGAATGCGACAATGAAGATAAAAGAAAAATCGATAATTATTTACAATTGCTTGGAACCGAGTTATAAATAACAACAATAATTTTTTTGCACTGTTGGCAATTCTCACATTTGTATGTAGCACTGATGTATATTTGTTGCATGGAATTAAGCGAACATTTCCCAACCATTGAAAACAAAGACAATGGGTTTAATTGCCTCAGGTTTTATTTATTTATTTATCCATTCATTTCGGTTGTGCAAGGTGTTAACAATTTTAGAGGTCAATTACATTAAGTAATGCCCGCGCACCTGATTAAGAGATGATAAAGGCAAAGATTACTTGCGGATGTTCATGGTTTTAAGCCGTACAAAAGAAGTTTAACGAATGTTTTCGAGTGAATGCATCAATTGTAATCCAAATGAAATATAAGCTTATATCGAGAAAAAAAAACGAAAATGTCAGAATCATACTGATAAAAGCATTTGTATCAGGGTTCCCCTCCTTGGAATCTGTTCTATTCGTATTGGAATCCGTAGGTTCTGGGCTCTCTGCACTTAAGTATTTTGATTTAGGTTTGATGAGTGATTCATCTAACACTTGGCTCGAAGTTTTTACGATGATTTCAATTGGAAAATTCTGTATAATTGAGACAAAGACTTACGGATCTGCTTCTGCCAAGCGGTGGGAAGTCCTTCCAGTTTCCCATCGTCGGTTTTATGTACGTGAATATCGTGCTGGACGTTCGTCGGACTACCTATGCAGGGGTTGTACTGTTCCTCGCGCGGCTCCTTCTTCTTGCCCCCGAAAAAACCGATCACTTTATTCATGTTAACCACTCATAGAGCGAACCACCCCAGAGGAAATGAATTGAGAAAAATATAAACAACAATACTCTGGTCCACCGCCGGTATCCAAAAAAAAAACAAACAAACAGAAACTACAAAGTGTATAAACTATAGGAGTGGTTGAAAAGAGCGCTTTATGCAACCATCGGTCGGAATATTTCTAGATAATGGAATAGATTTATTCAAGGTTCAGTAAGGGTGGGGAACCTTCTGGTGCGGCTGCGGCCACCAGGGGGCCAGAGACTTAAGTGACTCAGCCCACGCCTTCCTGGAAGCGCTCAGGATGTTTCCTTTCATCCCGGTCAACTTTCCTCGAATACCCACTGGTATTACTCATCTTCTACATCATCATTGAACAGCATCCTTCGACCCACGATGGTAACGGTATTCGGAGATCACAAGTAACTTAAAAATCTAAAGACATGTTTAAAAAGTTGCCTACTTTATTTACGTCCAAACATCAACAACATACATGTTTCGCTTCTGCATTCCAACAACAAGTTCTAAAGCCTCCTTCTCATCCACTCCACCAAACTCAACAAAACTTTTAACTATAGCGCTTTGCACTTCCTTTGCCATCTCTCGACTACCGCAAATCCAAACTCTGTACTCTTCATCCATCAATTTCCTTGCAACAGCTTCTCCATGCTTAGCAATGACATCTTGCACGTATTCCTTGTTATCACGCGACAAAGCCACGTTAATCTCACACAAAACCTTCTTCTCCAAAAACCCATCCATCTCCTCTTTATAGATGAAATCTTTGTCACTGTAACGACAACCAAAATACAAAACAGCGCTTAAGCTCCTCCTATCCAACGCGAAGTCCTCCAAGTATCCAATGAACGGAGCAACCCCAGTCCCAGGTCCAATAAGAATCACTTTACAATCATCAGCGTAGAAATCGTTCAAACAATCATTACGCTTCCTAAAGTAAAATTCAATTTCTTCATTCTCAACGGATAAAATCAATTCTAGGTAACCAGTGCAAACACCTTTGACTTTTCCGCAATCGACTAAAGAAAAGGCAAAGCGCAATTCCTCTTCTCTCAACGGCGATGAAGCTATTGAATAGAACCTGGGATGGAGAGGCGGAAGGTGTTCCAAAAGTCGCTCCATAGGCGGATTGCACGATGGCAACGATTCGAGCATATCCAAAAGAGTACGCGCTTTATTGGTGATGAAATCTTCATAAGTTGTGGATTTTAAATCGCTTGCCGGTTTCAACAAATCCCTATCGGACTCATCGCAATACGGCATCAAAGCGCGTAGGAACGTTTTCTTGGGTACAGCCCTAATATCCACGAATTTCAAAAGAACATCTCTGAGTGTTCCTTTTATTGGTATATGCGGTGGAAGAACGGGTTTCTTCTTTTGCGTGTTCTTCAATATCTTTAAACTGTAAGTTTTATCGGCGATTTCGAGAAGATTCAACCTGCAAATTAACTTCTCGACTTCTTCCTTATTATTGATCGAAATTACTCCGATGGAATCTCCAGGTCTAAATGCGTGATCGATTCCTTTGGTATCTAGAACCACTTCGTATTTTGGTTTGACATCGTCGCCTAGGGTCAGCTTCCTTGAGGATTTTATCTTGCATCGGAAAATTTCAGTGTCGGCGAATGGAAGCAGTCGTTTGTGGATTATCTCCTAAAATCGAAATCATAAAATGTTGTTTATAAATTGTCAAAATTGAATCATGTTTTATTTTAAGTGTAGTTGAAATATAGTTTCAAAATACTGTATTGAAATGTTGATGACAAAAAATACTGTTTGTACTTTTGCCTCTTAAGATTTCAACCAAGTTTTTAAAATCTACCACTATAGTAAGTAATATCTTCAGCATAGAGGTAGCAGTATTACTTTTAAAAAATAACTATTTTGTGAGAGTAACTATCTTTTATATGGAGGTAAACATTAGGTGTGAATTAAAAGAGTTGTGTTTCTAGAAAAGGTAGGAATGAAATGTAAATATACTTGAAGACTTTTGAAAACAAATCCATGGTAACCACATATACTTATAATTGTATAATATGTGATGATTTTAGAGTGATTTACCTGTGTGGTAGCTGCGTCGACCTGGTGGTAGTCGAGTTCGAGGAAGTCACTTGGGGTTGCCATATCCCAGATGGTTGGAAGTGCTGGTGAATGGAATTGCCAAGGAGATGGTGTTGGTGTCTCTGGATCTAACCTTAAAGCCGATACTCGTGCGATATCCACCTACATGTCAAAACACATGACAACCAGAAGGAGGGGGGTAAGAAGTTGGATGGAAGTCCACGGACGGACAGACGAGGAAAATAGGTACGTGTGTGTGCCGCGATGGACGGGAAAACGGTCGACGAAGGACGCTCCAAAAACTTCATCCCCGAAGATCCATTAGGTAAGAAAACCCTCTGCAAGATAACAAAACTAACAGTCTCATCTTGGTACTACTAACTGTTGCTGCTGCTCAGTCGCGGCATTCAAAAATCTAGGCCAAGACGGAGGTCCTTTTTTCCCCAAATTCGTAAGGACCAACTCACATCCATCATCTAACCATTTCCCAACATCAACGGAACCCTACGCGATCCATAATCCTCCCTCAGATAATACGAATACTTCGGTTTTGCAACGAATCCTTGAGGATAGCTCGCATTCTTCATTACGGTATACAACGCGTTTTTTATTTCGCAAATTTGATCTGCAATCGTAACCGCATGAAAATACATAAATACAACAATGTTGAGACAAAAAAAATCCATCGAGATATTGAGAGAACAAGATTTGATTACAATTTTTCCGAAAATAACGACCATGTCATTTGGCAGGTCGTTCGAAAAATCCCTGAAAAAATATCTGAGTATGAGAGCGTTTATCGGTGGTTTTCTTGATGTACAACCCTCTGTTATACATTTAATCGACCCTCGTTATTATTTTTACATAGAAAGGGCTTGGTTTTAAGTTGATCCTTGTTAGTATTTTGACTTCCAAAATTTGACGTTTGTGCTTTGCACGTAGTGTTGCCTATTCAGAGCAGCAGTAAGATTTTCATTTTACACTGAACGTACAAGAAGTCTCTTCGGTGCAACTTCAATTTAACAATTCTTCGACTGCAGCAATATATTTCCATTGCTTTGCATCGAGTAAGCAATGCAAATTGGAACTACTGGTATGTGTTTTCAATTAGTACATTTACAAATTATGTGAAAAAGATAATAGTTTCATTGTATATAAACAATATATTTTTATTTATTCAGTTATCTTAAACAACATGAATTTTTGCTTGCTAAAAACGTTTCTAATAGCTTATATTTGTTAATATCAAGCATCTGAAACAAATATGACTTTATAAAAGCACTTGTTACAAATTATGTTAACCCTGATTAAACATGTTAATCGATTGAATTTTGTTGATCTCGAGTTATCTATGACTAATATTATGACAAATTATAAATAGCCGCAAACAACTTTCTACACCCTTTATATTACTCAATACTATAACAATACAAGCTTCTTTATGCAATATGTATATATATATATATTCTCAATTTGTATTGGTGGTTATATGAAAAATTTACTCATACTTTTCTACTCGATGAGATTTCATTGCAATGACCAAATTTATTCGATTGTTTGATTCTGACTGTTCCTATTTGACTTTTACTAATGGAGAAGCATTATTTTTTTAATTTATTATTAATATAGTTTTTTTTTGCAAACTTAGATATGCAATATTCAACATACATATTATATACTTAATTGTCTTTATATAAAATATGGTTATGAAATAATGTCTTGAAGTTTTTAATATGCTTTTAACAATGCAATTAATACTTTTCCGCTGAAATGACTTGGGCACAATATTTAGTGTTATCGTCGCCATGTTTATATTATGTATAATCTCAAATTTCAAACTGTTTTGTCAACTTCTATATCGATGTATATATAAATGCGTCATATCTTCAAACTCTTCTATAATTACTCAAGTATAATTTGCTTTGTTTTAGATTCTCTTGTAGATCTATTATTTGACGCGTTCATTTATAAGAAAATTTTACCGCGTGCGGACGCTAAGACTAGTACTTCCTGTTTTTACGCATTAAATTATTCTAATTTTTACTTTTCAACTAAATCTCTTCATTACAGAGATTATTTTCTGATGTTATATAATTCGCAATCGTTTCCATCTTAATTACTTTACGAATTGACCATTGATGTGTCATTTGCCTGTTTTGGTAGGTCTCTTGTTCCTTTATTTGTCAATTGAAGTTCATATGCAAATTGTATTTTCTAAATAATAATATTCTCAATGCAAGTATTCAAATTTCATATTGACATATCAATTCTGAATAAGAAAGTTTCAATTTATTTTGTCTAAAATTGATAAAACATTAATGCTGAACTTACTTTTATTGAACAGTTGTAAATCAAACATTTATATAATTATTTTTCTTTGCAGATATTCAAGCGATGGCAACGAAGTGCTTAAAAAGGTGGGTATATTAAATATTTATAATTGCAATTATTAATTTGTTTGTTTGTGTGTTTTCAGTGATTGTAGCGAGGTATTTAATATCAACGATGATATGGGATAGCATTTGGTATAACTACTTCCTTGTTACTTGAAAATGGGATTAGTTTTCATGAAAACGAAGCGCTCTGAAAGAAGCGAATTCGTCGTGATTTCTGACGCGATCAGACAGATGGCGCTTTTCTCCAATCCAGGTAAATTCATTATAACATTTTCCTTAACTTTCATGAAATGTCAATAATTAACATTGTTTTTTATTTACGTTTTTAGACAATTTGCTAATCATTGAACTCTTATATAAAATTTAAAGCTGAATTAAAAAAAATATATTTAAATTTCTATAACTAATAGATGTGAATGTATTTGTTAATTTATATAAGTGTATTTATGAGATTGCATGTTAATTTTCTAATTGTTTTATATAATTTGAGTAAAATGAATGAAAATCAGTCTATTACTTGAATATAGCTGCAAACCAAATATTAAAATATTTGTTTATTTACAGATTTATAAGGATATTGGAGTCAGGAAAGGTGTGTATTTCAATTGTTTATAATTGTTTTGTTTTAATTAATTAGGGTGTTATTTTTTTTTTTGCAGGACATTTTATATAAGATATGGGATGGCAGCGCGCGCTTCGAGTGGATTGGAATATCGAGTGAATGCATCAAATTCGTGGATCTGTTGTTCGTTTCCGGGGAAAGCGTTGGAAGTGTATTTTTGGATGGGAAAGAAGTGAAATGAAGTGCTTGTGAGTGAGAGTGATGGAGAGGTGAATGTGTAGTGATTTTGGGCGCGAAACTGGCGCGCGCGGGATCGAAGGTTGTGGAATGGTGCGGATAGATGTCGCTCGGCCATCGCTGCGTTGGTGTTTTGGCGTTGCAAAAACATTGCGCATTTGAAACCGGAAAAAAAAGGTGCGATAGATCGTAGACGGCGTTCAACGGCGTGAGCAAGAGAGAGACGGCGACAACAGCGGCGAAGGATCGTCAGCATCATCGGTGAAGGGTCTTCAGGTCCGATCTACATCCTACATCATTCTTCACGGATTCGCTTGGATTCGGTGGTTCCTGTCGAGGCTGGTGCTCGTGTGTCTGTGGCGTCGGTGTGTGCGTGTGTGTGTGAAGTTGCATCAAGCGGTGTTGTAATCGGCGGGGCCGGTCGGTGGCGCGAGGAGTCTGCTCAGTCAACGCCGCCGACGTTCGTTTGTTCAACAGAAATGGAGTGGTACGTCGTCCGCCTGTACCACCGAACGGCGCCATTGTGGTAGTACGTTTGTCCCGCAAAAAATCGTCTCTGCGAAGACCGTTTCGCCTGTTTATCGCGCTCCGTCCACACGGATTTCATGTCGGACACGTATCCGATGGTGACAAGTGCTCATTGGTGCGGCGGTGCGCCCCCAGTTTCGACCGAAGGTGGTGCAATGTTTGGTTGTAGGTGCGTATTTCGTAGTGTGTAAGCACGGTGTCTCCGGGATTTCGTAAGCCGAACGGCGTCACGTGGGTGTTATCTGCACGGACCTTCCGGATTTGCCTCCTGCGTTGTTTCCGGTTTTCCGGACCGCGTCGCGAACCGCAACGGCTCGAGCCGGACGATGCCCGGTCGCTGCTAACCGCACGCTTTTGTTAAGGGAAAGTAGCGAACAGTTAAAGCGTCTCCCTCCTGCTATTATCCTATATTTTTTCCCATCGTAATAACCATCATCATTCGCACAACGAGGGCGACGACGATGGAATTGGCCGGGGATTAGTTCAGTGTTTGTTTGTTTTCTTTTTTTTTTCAATTTTGTTTTTCAACTTTTTTCCCCTCCCCAATTATTAAACTGCATTGCAATTAGTTGGAGCTGGCTGTGTCTCCAAAGTGGTTTTGACAGTGTTTTGTGAAAGTCAAGGGGAACATTCCATGTGCAAAAGTGGATGAATGGGATTGCGTACGGCCTCGGTGAGGCATCCCCATGTGGAGGTCATGGCACCAGCCCTAACAGAAACTAACCAGTCACAAAGCTTCAAGCTGCCCCCCAACCAGCTGGCATCCCCAGTCAACGGTGTGGACAAGAGTGGTGAGCTGTATGTGCCCAGGAAAGCCACCACCAGCAAGGATCTGAACTATGGCTTTGGCAATCCCCTTTCTCTGGCCATTGAACTGTTAAAGATAGACCAAGTCAATAGGGCCTTGGATAGTACAGTTGAGGAGTGTGCGGAGCCTATAATGAGCAATTGTCCACAACCTATGGGTGACCAGGACGACAAAATGGGCCTACAGAAGGGTGGTTTAGAGGATGTGACCTGCATCCTCAAAGACAGACTTGACACAGAAGATGACCAGTTATTCAACATAAACAACATTAATCCCAATGTGGATGAGCTCATGCAGGTGTTCAAATCTCTAGAAGCAGAATCCACTGGGTCTGTGCAGGATGAACAGGATGTCATATTCCCATTGTCTGGCAGTGATCTTAATGTGGGCAACTTCACCAACCTGGAGAAGGAGCTGTTCAGTGATGTTATGAATATGAGCATGGAGGAGCAGTTGAGTGACTCTGTAACAAATATAAAGGAGACACAAACCAAAGACCTGATGACTGGCATCTTGAAACAGCACAGTGCACTTGACAGAAGAATGGATTTTCTGATCAGAAGGGTGAGGAAATTCCAGTCGCGTCTCATGGGCCAGCACGTGAGTGGCGAAATGGCCGGTGTGTATGAACATGTGCATCGAACGTTAAAAAAGTGCAAGGAGCAGCAGCAGCATCAGCAACCCATGAATTGCCCAAAACAAGATGACAGTGCTGTTCTGAATCACCTCCCTGAGGAACCCAAACCTGTAATCCAGGAAAAGTTGAAACCAATCTCATATAACTCCACCAAAAATCTAATTAAGAAACTTGAGATGAGTGCTGTTGTTCAGGCCAACAACACTTTAAGGCAGAGGCATACCAATAAGTATTTTGGTGCAGGCTCTGTGGAACCAACAACTGGATACAGATCCACCCCATCCATGGGACTCACTACTTTGGCTCAATGGCCCCAATCTGATAAGCAGGAGCTTCAGAGGGTATCTGGGTTTTTGGAATCAGAGATGTCTATGGTTCAGAATGAAGTGGATTCTGAAGCTACAGTCAGCAGCTCAGGAGGAGAGAGTTGTGATGAAATGCAAACATACAACAATCCACATCAACAATATCTACCTATGTAAGCATACATTATTTATTTATTTTACTTCATTTTATAATCAAATTGTGTATGTGTGGAGTTGTACAATATACCCCAGATTTATTATTTTATAACTCATTGTTTTTCTATTGTTTGTATATCTTTTCACACTTTTTTAATATTCTGGGTTGCATTTTACACCTCCAAGTATCAATTATAAGAAGAACCACTTCATTTTATCAATTTGTGTGCAGAGTTATAATACAACCCAGACATATTTATTTTTTTTAATCAAACTGTTTATTAAACCAATAATATTCAGTCAATCTTAACAAACATGAAAGAAAACTTATCTGGGATATGTTATATGTCACAAAGAGCGTAGTAGAAGTGTCACATTGATAGTTTGCAGCTGCTATGATATCAAAGACCTTGATAATATACAATTCTATACACAAAGAACCATTGATTCTCCAAGAAAATAATTTTCGGGTGGCAGTTTTTCCCTAAGGTGAAACACGTTCGCCTTGAAATAGTAATAGACGTAAAAATAAACAGCGATTATTATGTTTGAGATTTCCGTTTGCGATATTAATTTTAGATAGCTCTGTCTTCTTTCTCTCGTCCTCCATCTCTTTTTTTTCTATTGTCGATTGAGAATCATCGAATCTCTTTCAAATTGAAAAATCTCAAACGCACCCAGATGTAAATATAAACAAGTAGTAAGCACTTTCAAAATAAACAATGGCAACAGTTAATACCAGCATTGACGTCATCGACGCGTAAAACTTTACTATTTGCACTGCAACAATTCTCTGTTCGTATTTATAAAATAATCCATTTAGACATAATTGATCGAAAAAGCCTATTGTTTTGAACCAAAATTGGCCTAGTTTTATTTCATATTCGATGTAACATTTAACCTCAAGTTATTCGAGTGTATTTTCTGTTTTAGATGTAAATTAACTGACGTTATGAAAAACTGTTTAAATATTTACTAGTTTCTTCGGAACGCATTACTCAGTCAATATAGACTTGGATTATAAATAACTTACGAAATAAGCAAATTTGTCTGTTAACTTTCGCTGGAGCAATGTTTGTTAACGGCGATTGCGTAACGTTGTTATTAAGTACGCAAAAACAGTTGATTCAGAACGTTGATCCAGTTATTTCTAAGCTATCTGTATCGATTATCCGAAGAAGGCTTGGTCAACAAATTATTCGAGTGTTTTTCCTTTTAAATCGAGTTGTTTTGTATGTAATTTCTAAAATTTTCTTCACAAGGTCGCCTTTTTCTAATAGAGCTAGCTACCTGGACATAAGTACATTTTAATGATCGGCAATAATGGTCCCTTTTTTTCAACGAATAGAGACGATGGATCTGTCCTTTAGGAAGTCCATTGTTATGGTTATCCTCTGTTGAGTCTTGTCACAGTTATTCGGTGGATTGGACAAATCAAAGGAAGGAAAAAAAGTAGACAAAAGCTTTTCGAAGTCGTCAATTGAAATAGATTTTGTTCTAATTGAAAAATTGAGGTTCTTAAAATTTAGTTTATTCGAAATATTCTTTATGGTTTTTCATTGTTTTGTTATAATTCATTACATAAATGTATAAACAAATATCAATAAATAAATCGTTGATAAGGTACCGTGGATTATACTAGATACAGGTGTGGATTAAATATAAATGAATACGAGGCGATATTGGATCTGAATTGAAATCCAAGGCCCTTTTTGTTTTTCAACTCGCTACAAAATCATCATCCGAAATGGAAACTTAACGCGATAAACAACATGTTTTGAAACCTTCCTTCCTTCGTCTGATCTAATTGACTTTCGCATTGTCAGTTGCACTCGAAATTGAAATACGGACGAGCATATTTCATTTATTCGCATCGACAAAGTTCGTTTTTATTTTTATGCGAAACGAGATTATCTCTTACTAATGATTTCCTGAAATCTAATCTTTCAGTGTGAGCTCCAACTCGCATTACATAGCCCGTTATTTTTTCCCCTCTATTTCCACTGTCTTTCTGCTCCGCAATAATTACGTAACACGGTTTTGAGCGAAATAATGAGTGACGTGCTGGTGCTAATACACACATAGCCGCCTGAAAATTGATCCGGTTTCTTGAAATATTTATAGTCTCCTCCATTTGAACTTTATCACATAAAGCAATTTGACCGGAAGAATTATTGATGGTTCGAGGGATTCACATATGTCTTCGCATGATTCGATTTTATATAAGATTTGTTACTTATTTCTGAATGAATGCTGTAATTTCTGTTGCGTGATGTTGAATTATGATATGCTCATTATTGGTTGTGAATTAGCTTGTTTACGAAACTTTTTGTTGCTGTTCTGAAAAAATAAATAATAAAAAATCAACCTTATGAGTAATCGAGACCTGCCTACACTCGACAGATTGCGATGTGCAGTTGATCGATAATGGAATTACGCTGTGCGTAGCCTGGTTAAAATGGTTGATTAATATATATTGAAGCAGGGAGGGACGACGGTTTTTATTCAAAGAAATTGCTGTGCCGTTTCGAAGAACTGATAATAATCGTTGCGGTCGCAATGTCCGTTGAATTTATAAGTCTCTAGCCGAAGTCTCGCATCTCACGTCCCATGCTTACATGATTCGCATCATGCTCTGTCCAAATCCTTAACGATATTTATCCATAAATTGGACGGAGCTAAACATAGACTACTTAGTTATCCAAGTTTTCGATAATCTATAAATATTAGCTTTAAGTTATTCCATTTAGATTAGTCTGTTACAAAATTAATTCACAAGATACTTCATTTTCTTTTGTTTCTATTCTATTAAGAATTTAAGGAGAGAAGAGAACTGACTTGTGTGAGATTGGTTTTATATTGTTTATATTTAACCACAATAATACTCGTAAAGTTCAAATTTATGAATTCCCTAAATGCTAAATCTGCAATTAAGGAACTATTTATATGCCAAATTCCAATTTTCGTTATTAAAAAGAGAGAGAGAGACTTCATAAAGTCTATTTATATCTGAAACTGTACTGGATGTTATGAAAATCAAAAGATTGTTTAAGTGGAGTGCGCACGTAAATGCGCTTGGATGGAGTTTCAGAATTTGAAAGTTGCTGCTTTTGAATGCGCTATCTGCCGCTTTATTTATTTTTCACTTCTATTTACACTTTTTTCAGTGCTTTCATTTACTTGCCGCACTGTCCAAGTGGATCTCGCATGTTCTGGCAACCAAATATCATATGTGGCCAACTCATTCGTTCCCAAAGTACATCAGCTTGGGAACTATTCGGGACAACCGATAGCGTCATCAGGATTCCCATTTTTTTTGTAGCTATTCCGTATCTTTTTTAAGTTATAATTTTCTTATATAACTAAATTGCTTGGATAGGATACTTTACAAATCAGGATGTGCGGGTGACTAATTACAATTTTAATTAATTCCCTATAGACAGTTTTCCTATCTTGTAATTATACGCTGAATAATTAAGTATGCATCGATTTAGCGTAATTGGAAAATTGTCAATAATGACATTACACGCAGTTTCAATCAAATACTTAAATCTGGATGTGGAAAGTAAATTAGTTTTCAAATCATCAAATGCTTGGTTGCAGCTTCATATGATATTAAATAACAAAAATTGTATGCATACATTGTAGAGGTAATTTGTTTAGTAAAAAGGACATATTGCGGTCATTTATATCGATTGATCAAAGCCTGTGTCATTTGCATATTGTCAAGTACTGTTATGTACACGCAAGTTTAAACACAATCCCAACTCCAACGCAAACTATCTTATTACGTAGTGCGTGATAATTGCATGTTTTCTCGACATATTCCACAACAATCTTAAAGTTTCTTAGTTTTGATTTTATAATAGATTTTTCTATTCAGGTAGTTTTATTAATCACCGAAAAAGAATGTACAAGGTTAACATTTTATTTCTGAATAATATTTATAAATTTTTGTCTTTTTTTTTTCCCCTAAAAATGAAAAATTACTTCATAACTTTAAATTATATGAATAGTTAAGCCTATATCTATACTTTCTACTTATCTGCAAGGAAGATCTGCAATACAATGAATATAAAGTACAAGATATCTAGCAGCTAAAACAATAAGCATAACCAATTACTGTCTACATACATTTCATGTTACGTATAGCTGCAGTACGTATATATGAGGATAAGCCTAGAGTGTATAAATATTAAGTCTTGTATATAGAACTGCGACAACAACCATAAAGTAAAGCGTATTGCGATAATCGAGTTACAACTGAACGGGTAAAGTTAGTTGCGGAACAAAAGTTATCGTCGGGAGTTTCTCAACGCCAACTCGTTATAACGTCGCATTTTACTTGCTGCTTTTAATCGCCCGACCTTCGACGATCCCGTGGGACTAAAGCGGAAGAACCCGTTTCCTTTGTGTTCGCGCGAAAGTTCGAAATTCTTTGTGCACAGCTGCAAAAAAAAAAAGAAGCGATCTTCGCCATCCCGAACTTTCCTTATGGTTCCCCTTTACTTTTTTAATCAACAGTATTTTCGTCTCGGATTGAAACGAATAACAATATTTATTATTACAATACTATAAATACTGTATTATTTTTTTCTATTTTAATCAATAACAAAGTTTTATTGTGATTCCAAAGCGTACGATGGATTAGGATTCATGTTTCATGTTTGAAAAACTCATATTATGGAGTTTTATTAGTTTTTTGATTCGAATTCAAGTCTTCGCGACGATATACGTCATATGCTCATAAATAGGATAGGGATAGCGAATTGCGTAAGGATTTATATAAAATCCATAACTAAGGGGAAGTGACTTGTTTTCAGCGCATTATTCAGTTGCGCAATTCTTGTAATTGTGACCATTATTATTAAATATATACGAAACAAACAAAAAAAGACTTAATTAGTTGTCAGTAAAATATTAAACTTTAATTGTTTAATTTAAAGTAATAAATATTTATAAATATATTGATATGGTTCTGTTTTTGATGCGTTTTAATTTTCTTCGTATTGCTTTTCATAAGTAAAGCTGTTGTTATGTTTCTTGGAACATCTGGAATAACATCACGCCGGTTGCCAAAGATGATGTTAAATCCAGTGCAAATGTTGAAAGTGTTGATGATCCAGTGAAAGCTTTTTACTTTTAACTCAAAAGTAGACCATATGTCTTTCCAAAAAAACCTTTTGTTTTCAATACAGATTTATTTGGGTTATAGGTTATCACATTATATCTTTTTATAACGTAAAATTTGAGTTATTTTTTTACGAATTTCTTTTGATATTTGAGAAGTTCGTTTAAAAGCTATGAAACTGAAAACTTCCTTGAAAGTTTTTAATGTAGCGATACAAAATACCGATTCTTGTTTGTTGGAATTTGGATGTTTTAACTACTCTTATTGATGATAACAAACGGCTTTCGACACGTTCCACTTAATCGCGATACCTAGTGTGACGAGACACATCGATTGGGAACCGTTGCCATAAGCAACACAAGAATCGATTACAGTCTTTACTTGTGTGTAATCAAATAGTTACACTTAGATGAATAATTTCTTGAAATTGAACAGAAAAACGTAAGTCAGTGTTATGTCCATAGAATTGTTATCCAATGTGTACTTGTTGTAAACCATAATTCAGACAGAGGTTGCAAGGAAACCTAAAAATAATGTGACTTCAATTAGTTCCGAATTGCAACAGATTCTTTTATGCTACAGAATAACAACAGAACAATGCATACTGCGCTGCGTTATACTCTGTTTTAAAACTGGTTATTGTTTATTTGATATAAACGAATAACTTTTGTTAATATGTTGATAATCATGGAGTAAACTTATCGCGTAATTAACAACCGACAAACAATTTTTTAGTTTGTTTATTATATAGCGGAATATATGTAAATGAAATGTATGTAAATGCATAGGAACAAATATTTGTGAAAATCTTCTATGTTTATAAAGCAATGATGCACTTAATTTTGTTAAAACGCAAAGTACATCATTGTTCTACATAGAATGATATAGTCATATGTTAATGTTGTTTTCAACTAAACTATCGCTTTTACTAACGCGAGATCCTTAAGGTCACCGAGGAAAAGTATTTCGCCAGTGTCCTTGTCCGACGGCAAGTGTGAATTTGTATTTTGTGCTGTTGCTACTCCTTTTTTTATATACTTATCCTTGCTCGTTCCGTCTGCATATTGATTCTGGGAGATGCATGGTTATTGTTGTTAGGCTCTATGGTAAAAAAAGTAAACATTGTTATCTGATTTGGCAAACAAAACGGTATAACGCTTCAAGGATTCGCGTCCATCCGCTTGTACTTCCATTCGCGTCCATGCCATAGTTGCATCCAGTTTCTCGTGATGCACGATGGGACGCAGACGCAAGCGCTCTCCTTTCCTTATATTTGTTTAATTTCCCCCTTCCTTGTTGCCGGTGTTGTTGTTGATGATGCTGTACTCACCAGGCTGATCTTGTGCGCGACTAGGTTTTGCGAAACACTCCTTCGCGGGAATTTAATTGCACTCTGTAAAACCTATAATCACAATCGAAACACACTGACGATGGCTTCTTTTTTTTTTGTTCTGCGAATTCGATGTTATTGCATCTCGCTGAACAGGCAATTCTTGTTTTGTTGATTTAAGGATTGTGACAAGTTTAATCGGTGCAGTTTTTCTATTGGAAATTTTACAAGGATGCATCCTTTGATATTATTTGCAAAATTGTATTGCTTTTGCTGTATTTAACTTGTGCGTCTCCTCGTAAATTCGAGGCGACCCACATTGTAGTCTCACCATTGTTCAAGAATAAAGATGGTTGTACAATCAACAGATTGACTGGGACTACATTTGCACACATACAAAAAGAACGGAACAACTACCGTTTCGCTGAATTATACAATTGTGTAACGTTTCAAAATGCTTTGGCGACATTAGGAAACGCACTTTCCAAAAATCCATTGTTTTATTTTCTAGTGCAAATACCTCTTTCTGAACGTTTTTATTTTATTTGTAAGAATGTAAAAGTTTTTGAGTCAATATAAATATGTGTTATGCATTATACATCTTTTTGCAATTACTAAATCTAACTACATCGTGTGCAACATTCATCAACCAACTTGTTTCGCTGTTTATGAGATATAAAAATCTCGTGATTATGAATCATAAGATAAAAACCACATTTTTATAAACTATATAGTCTATGAGTAAATAACTTCGTATTCGCACAGTTCGCTAAACTAAACATTTAAAAAAGCAGTTTAAAATAGGTTATTCTTTTATAATCTGGCAATTATTATAAATTATTTTACTTTATGTATTGTTAAAATGATTTATGTAGAGAATTTAGCGTTATTTTCCAGTTTCTCGTACATATAATAATTTTAGAATATGAAAATCTAGAATCAAAGATTATTAATAATTCTAAACACATAACGAAAAAAATGATGAAATTGATGCAACTCTTTTGCAAGTTATAGGATAACATTAAAATGTATTAAAATATAGCAAATGAAACCAATTTAGTCCGAGATTAAAAAGTTTATTTGATAAATCATTGAATCTATTTTTGACTAAAGAAATATGTAGCTGGCAATGCTTTACTTTTATTTGTTATGTTCTTAACTGTCGAAGATCTATTATGCTCTACATTGTAGAGTCTACAATGATTAAGTCTTGTCATGCTTTAAAGGATTTTATTTCAAAGTGGTTAAGAATACTTAAAATCCGCAGTGTTAACTAAAGTGGAGTTTGCTGATTTGCTAAGTTTCTAATTTCTTTGTTCTTTGTTTGCAGACATAAACGAGCGGCATGGCGGTACGCGAAGGATCGAGCAGCGATAGCAAGCCGATGGACCTGGCTGCAGTCGCAGGTCGCGGACTTGGACTACAAGATCCGGCAGTACAATGACCTGCACAAGAAGATAAGGGCCAGCAAGGAAAGCGTCCGCTTGGGTGGCGCGAGCCCCTCGCATGTGTCAACCGTGCCATCGTCGCCGACGTGTGTGAACGGTTATCGAGGACAGTTGCCGGGCGCGTCACCTACGTCGAAGGGTGTCCAGGGACAGGGCTTGGACGCGCAGGCGAACGGCGCGTGCGGAGTTTCTAGTGGAGGTGGCGGGGGCGGTGGCGCCACCCCGTCGCCGGATGTGCAATGCTCGCGGACCCGACCGCTGGTCAGCTTCCGGAAGCGCAAGCTATTGCAGATCACAGGACTCCATGCGGTCTCGAAGAAGGCGGCCCGTCCTTCGACGGTGCGATGCGGGTGCGTGCCGCCGGACATCACGTGCGCCCTTTGTACCGGAAGGACGGATCCCACGCACCCGCGAGATGTCACCGATTATCTCAGCAAAAATGAAAAGCTCGCACTGCTGGACCCTTCATTCCATCCTACCTTTTCTCTCAACGAAGGCACGTATCTATTCTATTTTTACACTATCACAAGTATTTCCATCTTTGTGATAAGTTTATCTGGACATTATAACAAATCTGTTACTAATTAATCTAATAGTAAAAGTCTCTAACTATTCTATAAAGGCAGATTCACTTTTATACTTGATCATGTACAACATTGATTTATATTATTTTACCAATCAATTAGCTTAAATAGATACAATCTTAATCAAAATAGAGATTTTCATTCTTCACTTAACGAATCCAATAAGTAATATTGCAAGCATATCCTCATATTTCCTTGATAAACTCGTGATAACCTCTTTGACGATTTCGACTAAATCTTCATGCAGTTTTTGTTGGTAATAAATATACTATAGTGCGTTTCAAACATTTCTTAGATTTTAAATATTCTATATCCAATGTTTTTAAAGCTTAAATTTAAAAAATACTTTATTTCAAAGTAATTTTAACAAGTTGGAATTTCGATATAGGAACCAATATAGTTTATTTTAGTTTTGGCTATGATGTGTTGCAATTATTAGATCTCCAACGTTAATATTGCAGTTTGTAATCAACAAATTATTATTTGAATTTGAAAAATTTCCTGTACAAAGATATCCTCTTTAAATTATACTATTTTTGGTGATCTAATAAATCAAAAACATAATTTACTTGGACATGAGATTTATGTATTACATATATTACAACAGTCATTTATGTTATTTATTGCTCGTTACTTATTTTAGTGTCTTAAACATTGAGGTATTTCAGTCTATTGTATATCTATTTTGTATGTGTATATCAAAATACATTAATTACGGAAAGTGTTTTAAGTTAATTGTTTTGTACAATATAACTCATGTTCCACAATAATCGAAATAGTCTTCATTTATTTGCTTATAAAACAATTAATATAATAAATAGCAATGATTGATATAACTAAGAGTCAATTGTTCTGACCTGTATCTAACTGTAATCATTAATAATAATAGTCTCTGGTTAAACTAACCAGTTGAAGTTTAACAAATATATCAAACGTTTCACATTTAAAAGTATATTTCAAATTTATTAGTCAGTGATAATAAAATAGCAAATCACGATACGTAAACATTTTCATCAAATTACAAAAATGTCGTCAATTCCATAATACGTTAATAATTGCATAATAATGCTCAATGAGTAACAAATGCATTTGAACTTGACTCTTTTTTTTTACTAAAATCCTTGAATGCGTCACGCTTATCAATATTCGTGACCTTACTTATTATCTTTACTTAGTTGCGTTTACTTGTGTTTATATATTTTGGTTTTTCTATTCTTAAATTCGATATCCTATAGTTAATTAACTATGCAATTAAAATGTAACAAAAAAAATATCTAACGTATTTTCAAATACGCAGTAGAAATATTGGGTATAAAATGAAAAACTAGGTTGATGAAATTGATTTGTAAAATGTAACTAACGTAATTTTGCGTTTGATCCATAAAATTAAGATAAACTTTTATTAGTTTGTCAAGTCCATGAAAGTTGTTTGCTGAATTAGATTAAGAATCGTTGCTTAACATAAAATATTGCTTTATGCGCAAAGTCACGCGTACCGAGATTATGCAAAGTTAATATATATTTTTCATTCTATTTTCTGGATCGATCGATGGCCTTTTTGCTGTGCTACATTGAATAGATTCTATTCAATAAAGTATTTGAATATTTAATAGTAAGCAGCTGTTCATAATTTACCTGTTTATAAATGCAAATAAAAAAAATTATGTATCATTTCAATAACAAATTATTATGTGATCAGCTTATGTAGAGAGTGCATATTTTTATAACGGTAGATAACGGATGATTACAGGTTTTGTCATGAACTGTCTTAGATAAGGTACAAAGACTCATTCCACAATGAATCTATGTTATTTTCTTATATTAATTATATGATTAATGTTTAGATGCGTCGGCGATGCTGCATATGGAAGCAATCATGAAGACGTCGGAATGGCAGCAGCGTAGTTCCAGGGCCAATCTGAAGGCGATGAAGTTCTTAAAGAGCGATCGGACAGAGAAGGCTGGAAGTTCGATAGAACATAGACCTAGAAAGTTGGAGCACAGGAAGAAACACAATAGACACCTAAAACCAACAACAGTCAACGCTCTATCAGCAAGTGAGTAATTGACTATTATTAACACACAATATCTATAATTAATTGTACACAAATGTTATTGAAATTGTTGCATCAAATAAAAATATATTTATGTATTTTCAGAGATCAAGAATAGGAATAGGAAGAATGTAAGACCAACGGGTAAATTAAAGAAGAGGAATCGCATGTCCTCGTCTCACCATTCGATCGGTTCGGACGGAATCGACGAGGAGATTGAGTCGTTGGGCGTTTCCGGAGGCGGGAAGTTCGATTCGCCATCGACGTCGCCGCTGCTCACAGCCCAATCGATTTCGTCGCATCAGAAGAGGAATCGTGTCGATTCCTATGACATAGACAATATCATTATTCCTTATAGTGTGGCCGCTTCAACGCGAGTTGAAAAATTACAGTACAAGGAAATTTTGACACCAAAGTGAGATTTCAAGAAACTTAACGACAATTTCAGTGCGGTTTAATTAAACGTTTCGTTTTTCTTTTCTTTCGCAGGTGGCGGATCGTTGAATCTAATCTGTTGAACAAGTATGACGTGAAAAATAACGGCACTGTGAAAACTAGTCAAGGAATAAGAGATGTAAGTAATACTACATCAGTAGTAGTAGTAGTAGCGATTGCGTTTTTTCCATAGTGTTTATTGACCTTTTTGTTCAACAGTGTATATTTTGTTAGTAGTGTAGTGTTGTCTGTTAGTATAGCAAAACTAATCAAATGGTACTGGTCACCCATCCAATTACTATCCACACCAAATATTGCTTAACAGTCATTATTCTATTAATTGAAGAAACGCATATAATATTATAAACTTCGTAAGAATGAACTCAGTGTACTACAATTGAACCATTATTTTTTTTATAAAGTTATTATCACAGACTAAACATAATTCGGACATTGAACACATCTGAGATAATGTATAATTAAATGATTCAAATTTCAATGTATCTTTGAACCAGATGTTAATTATTACTATGTAATATAATTGTAATCTGTTATTTATGTTCAAATGGACATTTTAATACCTAGGTTTTACATTAATATACATATGAATCTTCATTTTGATATAGTTTATGTAATCCTAAGCACTGGTTAGATTGGATAACATATTAATGCTTTTGACAAAAACACTAAATTTGTCTGCATGTGTAGTCAAAATAAATTGTACATATGATACAAATATACAAGGCCAATCTATTTTAGTGATGTATAGTGTAGTATATTTCCAATCGTGCTTTGTTTACATCCCAATTTTCTACTACTTGAATTGGGGAATGCACATTGCATTTTGTCTTGTATATTTTTGTATCATTGTAAATGATTTATCATTTTATGTTCTTAAAATTTTATGTCGTTATTTGCAGGGTGAAGATATGTCTGAAGACGCTGTATTAGCGAGACACGAGAAAAGTGAGCAAGACGAAAAGAAGAAGTTCTTGAGCTACTTGAAATTGCCAATCGGGTATGGTCGGTCGAGGGCGAATAGGCGGACCGACAGTAGGGCAGAGTCGAGCGGTGCGAATACGCCCGATCCGATGTCGCCGGCGCCGGTGTTAGGCGTAGCCGAGAACTCGGAAAACACTGTATCTCCATTGACCTCGCCCCCAGCCACGCCTCTGCCCATGGATGATCCGATTCCTACGTTACCTACCATTAGTGCGCTACGGCGGAGGACAATCTCGCAATCGCGTGTCGCCAAGGACAAGGAGTCCCTTTACAGAGAGGAGAACCGTTGTAGCACACCCGAACAAATCGAGGAACCGTATGAAAAAAGGCTCTTCCCATTGAACGAGGAGATGTACGAAAAGATGCTACGCAGCATGCCGGATGAGCACAAGCTGAAGACGAACGCCAGGTCGCAGGAGGTGGCGAGTCCAAGCAGCGAGTCCGACGAGAAGTTGATTTTTCACGATAGCGAATCAACGGAGAGTGCTTACGGGGAAGAGGACCCTAACGACCCGGAATGGGACGTAGAGACAGTTAAAGAGCGTTTCAGATAGGAGAATTTACTATTTAATTTTTTGTACCAATATCCATAATTAATATTTCATTTATGTTCTGTTACATATTTCCCTGTGCCGGCACCTTTGTTTCTAGTAACGTGTCGAGCATCAATGTTATACTTCTCGCGCTTAACCTATTGGTGCCTCGCCGGAACTAATTTATATTTAACAAGCTTCCGGTGGGGCTGAATTAGCTTTGTATTGAAATCAAGAAAACGAGAAAAAAAAATTGGAAGAAAAAGACACGACGTCATGTATTGTATGCGTTTAGTAGTCTGCGATCAATTTTCCTGAAAAGAAAAAAAATTCTATAGAAAATAATATAAAATGAACATATAGAGAACGAGCGAAGAAGAAAAGTTGGATAGGAGATGGAAAGAAAGATAGAGCTTGGGATTTTGTATTTAATTTCTGAGAAAAAAAAGTCTGTGATGCGATTTCATGTACAATATTTCAATACCGTTGTTGCTTTTTGTATTGTAAATATTTATATTAAAAAGATAAGATAAAGCGAGAGAAAAAAGCAAAATACAGAATTCGAAGCTTTTTTTTCTGATTATTATTTTTGTTTTGTTTTGATTATTAAAGAAAACATGTAGACAATAGAATATAATTTTCAGATTCGCAATTTCCTCGGGATTATCAATTTACGTATATTTGTTTTCTCTCAGTTATTGTTGTTGTGCGATATTTAAACAAAAAAAAAATCTCGTTACTTTGTTCATTTTTTCTATTTTCTTTAAGTTTCTATCAACAACAAGATCAAACAAACAAAAAAAATATAAAAAAGAAAGAAAAGTAATCAAAAAATAATTAAATTATTTTTATTTTGCGTTTTGTACAAAGTAATTTCACGAAATCCATCTGCTCTTTAAAATCATTTTCTATATGGATGTATGCATATGTTATGACATAGAAGCCCAAATATACATGTATATTATAAATAGTTTGTACAGTTAACAGTATAGATATGACGATAAGTGGATAAAGATTAGGAGACTAGGAGAGAGCGACAGGAAAAGGAATTAAGGTTTTTGGAAATGATGATGAAATTTTATTTATTTTTTTGTACTCCCTCGAACGGCGAGTCCTTGTATACTACTTAGATGCCTTCTGAAACTGGAAGAAGAAGAAGAAAAAAAAGGTTACATTCATTAATTTTTGTTCCTTTTTTGTATTTAATTTTGTTTTTATTATTATTTTTTTTTGTTATTTCTTTAGCTGAGAGAATGCGGAATTTGTAAATATATATTTTGAGTGTCCAGTAATAAATTGAAATGAAATTATATGTTGAGAGAATACTTGCAGAAGTGAGAAAGAAACGAAAGTAAAAAAAAAACTATTATTATTATTCTGTAATTGTTAGGTTTTTATTCTAAATTGTAAAGATATTTAAGTAAAAAAAAAAGAAGAAATAAGGAAAACCGAAAGACGTGTACATATTGACGATACTTGTGAGAGACAAAAAATATAAATATATAAATAAAATTATCCTCCTCGTAATAATAATAATACATGATTATATATATAGAAATTTTATGGATCGATTCGTTTAGAGATGATGTATTTGTATACCAATGATGCACCAATCTTTTACTTTCTTTCCGTACATATATTTTTGTTATATCTTCAGAAGCGATAAAAAAAAATTGTGAGAGAGAAAAGAAGAAAGAAAAGATTTAATACAGAACCGACGTATGGCGAGAAAATTCCCAGATGTTTTTTATTCGTTTTATTATTTGTATTTTGCACCACACACCACATTTACCCTTCGCACCGCACACCAGTGTTTCCTATACTAAAAAGTACAATAAACTTGCTTTACCAGTAGACGATACATTGATAACTTGAATTTATGTTACTGAACACTTAAATTCAATTTTTCAATCTACTATTCTACTGTAAAGTAGCTAAATATATAATTATAGTTTAATTGTTCATAGTAGACTTCAAAAAAAAACTGTTTATTGCAGTGGAAGTTCTTAATATTCCAGTCTTTCTAATAATTTATTGACTGACATTAAGCAATTTATTTTTAAATAAATGAATAATTTCATTGATGCAACTTGAAGTTAAATTAAAAATTCATATTTATGTCAATATAAGTTTTTTTTTATAACATAATTAACGTTTATTATTTGCTTAAGATACAACAAATATGCAACATTAACAAAGCTATGATTCTAAATATTTATTTTCTTTATAAATTGCAGGATCTCCTGAAATATATGATTTCTATTCTGTTTATCAACAGTAAACAATTGACAATCTTCCCTTTTCTTCAACTGTTCAACCAAAGTTATATTGCATTTCAGTGGAACTGTTGCTATGACAATCCTATCCTGTTTAAAGCATAGTTCAATTTCGTGCTTGAACTTGGAACTGAACATTTCCATTTTACCAATTTCATCAATCACCAAGAGATCTGGTCCTTGCAGTTGCAGCAGAGCACAATCTTCAAATTCGGTCAGGTACACTTGATATTTTCCAATGGTATATTTGCTGTTTTTGTTGGGATCAGAGATTCTCGCTAGTACTCCTCTGGTGGACTCATCCACTGAGACCACATCGAAGCCGATCCGGACATTTTTAGAATCACGAACCTCTTCGGTGTAGAAACCGGATATTGGTGTTTGCAATTCCTTGCAAAGCTTCTTCACGATCGTCGTCTTTCCAACACCAGGCAAGCCAGTTATTAAAACGTGTCGTTTGGACATATTTTTTAGGTTACATAAACTGTCAGTGACGTGTCACTAAGTTTAAATATTTTCTTGATCTAGTTAAAAATTCAAGAACAAACACATACAAAATCAGTATTACTAACAATATTTTCGTTCACAACAGTTATATTTAATTTCAAACAGGATGAGTAGTTCTAAGACAGTAAGAAAACAATTATTACATCATAAAGCATACATTCAAATATGTGACTTAACCTGATCTAACCTAACCAAAAATGACATAATTAAAGTAAACTTACTAAATACATCAAACTATTAGTTTAGTAATGAATCAATTTCTATTGAAATACTGAAATCAATTAGTTTATACATATACAAACATAATTTATTTAGTTAACATGTTAGTATAATTAATATTTACTAAATTAACGTTTGTCGTACTAATACTAATTTTATTAATCTACTTTCATTCATTTTTAGAAGTTTAACTTATGACTTGCTTTATTATACAAAGTACTAAAAACTGACTCATTAATATTAGTACGACTAATATACAAATACTTGAAACTTGCGATTAACTTGTAAATGCTTAGGTAAATAGCCATAGAGACTACAAACTCGACACTTGCCAAATAACATTTAAAACACGTATATAGAAAATTGGACAAGTACTTGTAACATAAAGATAGTATTAGTATCGTGAGTTTTACTGATACTTACTAAGTTTTTGAACTCTTTCATACTCATTTGAAGTTATGTTTAAGTTATAGGCAACTTATAAGACTGAGTACTGAAGTCAAGCATCCTGAATTATTAATGATTAGCTGAAGTACTTCAGAACTTTACAGCATTTGATAATATTTTAAAGGTAAATTAATACTTTGGTTTGCATTTAATACATTGTATTTATCGTTTCAGATGTGCAGCGTGGTTCGTGTATCTTGGATAGGAATAGATGCCGGGTGGGTGGTGCTATCTGTTGGCGGGTCTGTATTCACGAGCAGTAGGATTGGGATTGGTGGATAGGCTGATGCTGTCGTCCATCCCCACCAATGGCACGGTACCAGCCGATCGTGGTTTTGGTCTCGACTATTGTACCTGTTTCGCAGAATGTTGAACTGTCAGTGTCAGCGGCGGTCAGAACATGGCTGACACTGTGCCAAACAGTAACAGTCAACGGTATCATAACAATATGAGGGTGTCGAACGGTCCGCGGGTCGTGACCATCAACAAGACGGACACGGGGTTCGGCTTCAATGTGCGGGGTCAGGTCAGTGAAGGTGGCCAACTGAGGAGCATCAACGGAGAACTGTACGCCCCCCTGCAGCATGTCAGCGCAGTCCTGGATCGGGGGGCCGCCGAGCTGGCCGGCATCCGCAAAGGGGACCGCATCCTGGAGGTGTAAGTCTTAACGAATACTACAACAGAAACAACAAGAGTTTCCAATTCAACATCAGAACACCCGTGCACACCGTGCATGGTGATGCATCATCGTGCCTTCTTCCTCATCGAAGACTCTTCAGTCTTCGGTGTACGCGTGCGGCGTGCATGGTGAAAAGGGGACCGCGGCTTCCACCCCTTATTGATTTTTATTTAAGACTTTGACGTCTGACCAGCCTACGAATTTGTCTTATTACATCATAAGCTAAGGACTCGAGAAAGAAACAAACGCTACCTACGAGAATCGAAGCTCTCTAATTACAAAAAAAAAAATATAATAGCAAGAATGTTTCCCACCACGGAACAACGCAGGATTGAAACCGCAACTTATTTCGAATACAAAATCAATATCATACTTGACCAACTTTTTGTGTGTGTTCATATTCACGCTTATGTTAATCACACCACATGTGATCTAAATGCAATAAATCGTCAATTATTGCTAATTGGATTGATATCATCCGCAATTATGACTAATTGATTAAAAAAGATTACATCAAAATATTTCGATAAAGAAAATATTCCGTATTGTTCATGTATTTATTTTTAATCTATTTTGTTATAGTAATATCAGGTAGAAATAAATACATTGATGAATCACTTTATAAACAAACGTAAATGCAAACAATTCCAATAATATGGGTATTTCTGACCATCTTGGAAAGGTTTTGGGTTTTTCCATAAAATTGTAAATCTTGTCTTGTTTATTTACGATTTACTAAAATTATTGGTTTAATAATCTTAATAAAATCATTGAATTTGATATAAAGTATTAATTAAAGCGATTTCCTTTCATTCAATCACATTTTCTATCTAATTAGAAATTCAATATTTAATTATTTGTATCTTGCTAAGCTCATCAAACATCATTTACCAATATTCATGAATTGATACTAATCAGATTAATTTTGTAGAATCTACAAGCCTAGTTATTGATTATATTTCGTTTGAGAAACGTAACATTTTTGTTTCAAAGAACGCGCGATTCTATGAAAGTTTGATACTTTAGTTATAAAATCAATAGTATTTGTGTGTGCATACTCCATATAAACCTATAGGTTTGTTATATTTTTGGAACGGAAATTATTAAATAAATTGGTACAACATATAATAATAGAATTGTCGATCATTTCATATTGTAGCAGCAACGAATATTGGATTAAACGAAAATTACATTGCTTATAATTTATTATAACATATAATACATTAATACAATTACTTTAATTGCCATTAAATTTATATATGAAATGCCCAAATTCATGTAATAAAATTTATATTGTTCTTGTATAAAATGAGAGTAAATGTTATTCCATACCTTTTTGTGAAATACATTAACAAAATAATCCGTTGACGAGTTTAATTCGTTCCAAAATTTCCGGATTTTACTTTTAGTGAAACAATTTTCCTTATATAAACTAAAGTAATAGTAATTTTGCTCGTTAAGTGAAATTCTTGTTATGCGAGGTTTCACTGTATTTACAATTAAAAAAAAAACTTTACTTGGGGCTTTGTCGTTTTCTTGGCCCCATTTATGCTTTCATACTGCTCAGTTGATTGCATACTGAAGATTAGATAATACCAATTTCAGCGTTGCAAACTATATATATAAAAAGTACACAATTACATTCGAAATAATAGTTATATTATATAAATGAAACAAAGAGTTTCATTTTACGACTCTTTTTTTTATCCTAGAAATAGATCATGTGTAGAATATGTAGATTATGTAAAAAGTATGAATATTATATAAAATTAATGAGTGCGGTAGATAGTAATAATATTATGCTACTTATTTTTTAATAATTCATATTTGATTACCATGGAAATTTTGTTGTTTAAGAACAAAAATATTGTAAACAAATCCTTGGTTACGTCGATGTTGCACTGGAAAATTGAATCTCCTTTATCATATAAAAACTCGGTATTTCCCAAATATTCTGTAATATACATTAACAGAAACTGTTTTCATTATATTGCTTAATTTAAATAGAAATTATTGCTAAATAATTGCACAATTAGTACTGATTTTTATAAAAATTTAAAGCGATTAGGAATTGCGTAAATGTCAAGTACTTGATAAGTTACTTGGCAACTATTCCTAAGTAACGTATTCGACTTTATAGAATATATTGAAATACATGTTTCTATGAGCAATTTATAAGTAAAATGTTAAAATTTGTTTTAATTTATTAATTTTTTTTGTTGTTGTTTCCACTTCATGATTACAAATCGTATCGATCATTGACGATGCTGAGTGGACGTGAAATATAAATAGAGTTAATGGCGCGATTTGATTTATAGCGATTGCAATAATTGTCATATAAATAATGTCGATAAATATTTAATTCGCGAACGGAAAAGTAAATAAAAATGATATTAATATTGTGTTGATGATTGATTTCAATTGCAAAATGTAATTTAATTGTTTACTTGCAGGAATTTATTGAATTTATTTTAAGAAATAATTAACGAAAAAGAAAATGCAGACAATTTATTTGGATATTTCGATTGTATTTATTTACAATTAAAATTGTTGTTGTTGGTTATCAACGCAAAATTCAATTTAACACTCTTATCTGCATAATTCATTTTGCGACTTATTAATGATTGCAAAACTCTTCGCTTCCAATTAGGGATTTTACTTTTCTTCCTTTCGTAATACCTCATTAGTGCTTCTTATTATCTTTCTTTCTTTCTACATTTGCATCGCGTTTATTTTCTAAATTGTACATTGTTATTTCTACCTTATTAAGTAAATAGTTTGTAGTAATTATTATCCGTTTCTTATCTTCGTTTCAAGAAAAAAAAAGGTCGTGGAATATTTAAGGTCATTGCTTTGTGTTTTCTTCATTTATTTCGATGCGGGGTTGAGAATAAATTAAGATTCTGTAATGGTAATATTACGTATTCTATTACGAAGATGAAAATCTCTGTTGGCGAATAAAAAGGGAAAACGCTTTTAGTTGTGGATAGAAGCCGCATCTAAATCTGCTGCAATGAGAGCTTCAGGTAGCTCTAGTCGGCGTGAATCCGGATTTTCCTGTTTTTCACTCGTCTCTGTCGGATCGTTCTATTGGCTTCATCGTCCAGTTTTTCTTTGCTTTACGTTTCATACTTATTTAACGCTTTTTTTTATATATATATTTAGCTTTAATATTTTCATTTTTGTTACGTCTGCAAGCTTAAAATATTGTAAAAAATAACATTTATTGAATTATTTACCAGTTCGTTTAGATGGGAAATTGATTCTGTCAATATTTCGCACTGTTTGAAACCGGACTGTATAAAACGATCATTTATATATAAAAAACACGTGTCGTAATTGTTAAGTGGACTGGTGGAAACCGTACTAGGCAATGCTGTATTTTCATCCTCACGATTGTTGATAATTATGTAATTGATTAAAAACTACACAGGATTTGATATAAAGATGAAAATTAAGTTATTTTGTGGATAGAAAATTGGTTTCTTATATCCGTTTTAACAATTAATTCCTAATTGAAACTAGTAAAAAAAAGAAACACTAAAGTTAACAGCAAGTACAATACGAAGTGGTTTTCCCTGTCTAAATTAAAATTTCATTTTCAATTTGCTCCTGTTTCGTGCGTTTCTTCTTTTCGACCAATTCCGAATTAAAGCTGTCCCTCTCTCTCTCTCTATTCGACTCTCTTTCTCTCTTCATTCCAGTCTCCTCTTCACGAGAACTCCACGAAAGTGTTAATAAATAATTCAAGCGGAATCCGAGAAACGTGATGCTCTGCGCTATGCAATTTGCATTTTCGTACGTACTCGAGCACAAACACAATGGAAAACCCTCTTTCGTAATAACTCTCGGTTTCGTAAGAGCGACTCATCTAGGAAATAAATTTAAAAAGAAAATTCAAGACAACTAAATATAACACGAGGAATAGTAATTCTTTATTTTTTTTTGTTGATGTTGGTGTGTTCTTTGTTCGGTTGGAGATGATTAATTGAATGCGGGGTTTCGAAATAATAATAATGTACAGTTTATTCATGAAGTATTCAAGCTAATGAACGAGTACATCTTTTTTTGTGTGTATAGATAAATTTGCTTTGGATTGGGTAAATTTCGCTATTGCATATTTGATTCGAGATTTCGCTTCGTTCTGTATGCGCCGCAGGTCGTATTTAGTTTAAAATTTAAAGCCCACTGAAAGCTGGTGAAAGATGGAATGATAGTTCTACGACTGCTCTGCACGGTGAATAAGAATGAACNNNNTATGGTCATCTCTCTGTGTATGTGTTTCGAATTGAATACATCGGTATGTTTCCTTTTGAACATATAAAGTTTGATTTATTGCACAGATAATCGAAGTTATCTCAAGAGTAAAGACGTAAATCGAGATTGAAATCACATATGTTATAATGATTTTAAGTGAATTAACTTGTATATTTAACAGTTTTTAATTGGAGCAGACGATAATTTGACTTTTGAATCTTCAGAAAGGCACGTATTAGTCTAAATACCTCTAAGCAATTTATATCATTTTTACAAGTCTTTTATTGCATATCCCCATAATTTATTATGAGTCATAAAGTTAGTAATATAACAGGTATTGTGGGAAGACGTATCATTCCCTCTTATTTTATTTCATATTTTTCTACTAACTTGAGTTCATGACAAAACTCTGTGGATTAAAAACTTTCCTGAAATAAAGTTTAAAATTTAAAACCTATGAAAGCTGGTGGAAGATGGAATGATAGTTCTATAACAGCTCTGCACGGTGAATAAGAATGAGCTCTCTTGTTTATTGTGGGAGAAGAAGCTGAGGTTGTGCATTTCGCAGCAAATCTCTTTAAGTTAATCCGTAAATTATGGTCATCTCTGAGTGTGTGTTTCGAATTGAATACATCGATATGTTTCCTCTTCAACGTTTGATTTATTGCACAGATAATCAAAGTTATATCAAGAGTAAAGACGTAAATCGAGATTGAAATCA